AGTCTAAATGGACGTTATTATATAAACATTCATTAAAGAAAATCAACTCGTACTATGTTTAATATTCATGATGTATTACCTTTAAAGATGTGGACGAATGCACATTTAAAACGCAAAAATGTCACAGCCAAGCAACGTGTAAAAACACCGCTGGTTCGTTCAACTGTACCTGTAATGAAGGTTATACAGGAGATGGAACCATGTGCACAGGTACGTAGTTTGCATTACAATTTCGTCATTATTTTGCTCTAAATTTAAAATCTAAAATTCTGGAATCGGCCGAGACCATTAACAGGCAGGCATGTAACGCTGTCTTTGGCACACCTATAATTATACTATAAATTATGCTCAGCAAGATAATAACCATTAATAGTTATTGATAAAAAGCATTTATACTTCAAAAAGTGACAATTATAAATTAATTATAATGTCTAATTGGACGTTATTATATGAACGCACGTGCATTAAGGTAAACCAACTCAGTCGTTTAATATTCAATCTTTATTGCCTTTGAAGATATTAACGAATGCACAGTTGGAGCTCATAATTGTCACAGTCAGGCAACGTGCAGTAATACCACTGGGTCGTTCAATTGTACCTGCAATGAAGGTTATTCAGGAAATGGAACCATGTGTGAAGGTATGCAATTAACAATACAACTTTGCAACCGCTCCCACAACAATTGCACCCGTTCGTTTCTCATCTATTGTCTAAACGCGGTTTGCCAACAAATTTACCTTATATGCATATGAAAGTCGTCAACATTTATATCCGTTTAGAATGTTACAGTAACAGTTAATCATAAAAGACTTTTATACTTCACTGAAAATGACAATAATGACCTTTACAGTCTAATTGGACGTTATTATTTAAAGAAAACCAACTCGATCGCTTAAAGTGCCTATACCATATTGTGGATTTTCAATATGTAAAAAGTTTAAGGTGTTATTAAAAAAATGCAATACATTTTGTTAGAGAAAAATCTTGATGGATTTATCTTAGCCTTTAAAGTTACCGGACCAGACCTCAAATCCTGAAATGCAGATCAGGTTTTTTTTGTTTAATTTATTTGACGCCATGTCCGGCAAGTTTAAAGGCTAATAAATCCATCCAGACAAAATTTTTATTAACAAAGTATATTGCAAAGTTTTTGAAATATCTTAAACTTTTGATGTATTCAAAATCTACAACCATGGTATGGGCAGTTTGTTATTCATGATTTATTATATGGCTGTTCAAAATCATTTCTTCTGATTAGTTGAGAGTGGGTCGTAAAACCCATATCCGGAGTGTGGTCCGTTTACTCCGTACCTGGACCAGTTCAGGCGTATAATAAACAGATTATTGACCTCGCTTGTTCAATCTGTGCTGTGAAATTTTAGACAGAGGTTTTTGCATGGATTATTCATTATCAATATATTTACGTTTAAGATGTTAAAAGTTAATCATAAGAGGCATTTATACTTCACTAAAAGTAACAATTATAACTACAGTCTAAATGGACGTTATTAATAAACATTCATTAAAGAAAATCAACTCGTACTATGTTTAATATTCATGATGTATTACCTTTAAAGATGTGGACGAATGCACATTTAAAACGCAAAAATGTCACAGCCAAGCAACGTGTAAAAACACCGCTGGTTCGTTCAACTGTACCTGTAATGAAGGTTATACAGGAGATGGAACCATGTGCACAGGTACGTAGTTTGCATTACAATTTCGTCATTATTTTGCTCTAAATTTAAAATCTAAAATTCTGGAATCGGCCGAGACCATTAACAGGCAGGCATGTAACGCTGTCTTTGGCACACCTATAATTATACTATAAATTATGCTCAGCAAGATAATAACCATTAATAGTTATTGATAAAAAGCATTTATACTTCAAAAAGTGACAATTATAAATTAATTATAATGTCTAATTGGACGTTATTATATGAACGCACGTGCATTAAGGTAAACCAACTCAGTCGTTTAATATTCAATCTTTATTGCCTTTGAAGATATTAACGAATGCACAGTTGGAGCTCATAATTGTCACAGTCAGGCAACGTGCAGTAATACCACTGGGTCGTTCAATTGTACCTGCAATGAAGGTTATTCAGGAAATGGAACCATGTGTGAAGGTATGCAATTAACAATACAACTTTGCAACCGCTCCCACAACAATTGCACCCGTTCGTTTCTCATCTATTGTCTAAACGCGGTTTGCCAACAAATTTACCTTATATGCATATGAAAGTCGTCAACATTTATATCCGTTTAGAATGTTACAGTAACAGTTAATCATAAAAGACTTTTATACTTCACTGAAAATGACAATAATGACCTTTACAGTCTAATTGGACGTTATTATTTAAAGAAAACCAACTCGATCGCTTAAAGTGCCTATACCATATTGTGGATTTTCAATATGTAAAAAGTTTAAGGTGTTATTAAAAAAATGCAATACATTTTGTTAGAGAAAAATCTTGATGGATTTATCTTAGCCTTTAAAGTTACCGGACCAGACCTCAAATCCTGAAATGCAGATCAGGTTTTTTTTGTTTAATTTATTTGACGCTATGTCCGGCAAGTTTAAAGGCTAATAAATCCATCCAGACAAAATTTTTCATTAACAAAGTATATTGCAAAGTTTTTTGAAATATCTTAAACTTTTGATGTATTCAAAATCTACAACCATGGTATGGGCAGTTTGTTATTCATGATTTATTATATGGCTGTTCAAAATCATTTCTTCTGATTAGTTGAGAGTGGGTCGTAAAACCCATATCCGGAGTGTGGTCCGTTTACTCCGTACCTGGACCAGTTCAGGCGTATAATAAACAGATTATTGACCTCGCTTGTTCAATCTGTGCTGTGAAATTTTAGACAGAGGTTTTTGCATGGATTATTCATTATCAATATATTTACGTTTAAGATGTTAAAAGTTAATCATAAGAGGCATTTATACTTCACTAAAAGTAACAATTATAACTACAGTCTAAATGGACGTTATTATATAAACATTCATTAAAGAAAATCAACTCGTACTATGTTTAATATTCATGATGTATTACCTTTAAAGATGTGGACGAATGCACATTTAAAACGCAAAAATGTCACAGCCAAGCAACGTGTAAAAACACCGCTGGTTCGTTCAACTGTACCTGTAATGAAGGTTATACAGGAGATGGAACCATGTGCACAGGTACGTAGTTTGCATTACAATTTCGTCATTATTTTGCTCTAAATTTAAAATCTAAAATTCTGGAATCGGCCGAGACCATTAACAGGCAGGCATGTAACGCTGTCTTTGGCACACCTATAATTATACTATAAATTATGCTCAGCAAGATAATAACCATTAATAGTTATTGATAAAAAGCATTTATACTTCAAAAAGTGACAATTATAAATTAATTATAATGTCTAATTGGACGTTATTATATGAAACGCACGTGCATTAAGGTAAACCAACTCAGTCGTTTAATATTCAATCTTTATTGCCTTTGAAGATATTAACGAATGCACAGTTGGAGCTCATAATTGTCACAGTCAGGCAACGTGCAGTAATACCACTGGGTCGTTCAATTGTACCTGCAATGAAGGTTATTCAGGAAATGGAACCATGTGTGAAGGTATGCAATTAACAATACAACTTTGCAACCGCTCCCACAACAATTGCACCCGTTCGTTTCTCATCTATTGTCTAAACGCGGTTTGCCAACAAATTTACCTTATATGCATATGAAAGTCGTCAACATTTATATCCGTTTAGAATGTTACAGTAACAGTTAATCATAAAAGACTTTTATACTTCACTGAAAATGACAATAATGACCTTTACAGTCTAATTGGACGTTATTATTTAAAGAAAACCAACTCGATCGCTTAAAGTGCCTATACCATATTGTGGATTTTCAATATGTAAAAAGTTTAAGGTGTTATTAAAAAAATGCAATACATTTTGTTAGAGAAAAATCTTGATGGATTTATCTTAGCCTTTAAAGTTACCGGACCAGACCTCAAATCCTGAAATGCAGATCAGGTTTTTTTTGTTTAATTTATTTGACGCTATGTCCGGCAAGTTTAAAGGCTAATAAATCCATCCAGACAAAATTTTTCATTAACAAAGTATATTGCAAAGTTTTTTGAAATATCTTAAACTTTTGATGTATTCAAAATCTACAACCATGGTATGGGCAGTTTGTTATTCATGATTTATTATATGGCTGTTCAAAATCATTTCTTCTGATTAGTTGAGAGTGGGTCGTAAAACCCATATCCGGAGTGTGGTCCGTTTACTCCGTACCTGGACCAGTTCAGGCGTATAATAAACAGATTATTGACCTCGCTTGTTCAATCTGTGCTGTGAAATTTTAGACAGAGGTTTTTGCATGGATTATTCATTATCAATATATTTACGTTTAAGATGTTAAAAGTTAATCATAAGAGGCATTTATACTTCACTAAAAGTAACAATTATAACTACAGTCTAAATGGACGTTATTATATAAACATTCATTAAAGAAAATCAACTCGTACTATGTTTAATATTCATGATGTATTACCTTTAAAGATGTGGACGAATGCACATTTAAAACGCAAAAATGTCACAGCCAAGCAACGTGTAAAAACACCGCTGGTTCGTTCAACTGTACCTGTAATGAAGGTTATACAGGAGATGGAACCATGTGCACAGGTACGTAGTTTGCATTACAATTTCGTCATTATTTTGCTCTAAATTTAAAATCTAAAATTCTGGAATCGGCCGAGACCATTAACAGGCAGGCATGTAACGCTGTCTTTGGCACACCTATAATTTACTATAAATTATGCTCAGCAAGATAATAACCATTAATAGTTATTGATAAAAAGCATTTATACTTCAAAAAGTGACAATTATAAATTAATTATAATGTCTAATTGGACGTTATTATATGAACGCACGTGCATTAAGGTAAACCAACTCAGTCGTTTAATATTCAATCTTTATTGCCTTTGAAGATATTAACGAATGCACAGTTGGAGCTCATAATTGTCACAGTCAGGCAACGTGCAGTAATACCACTGGGTCGTTCAATTGTACCTGCAATGAAGGTTATTCAGGAAATGGAACCATGTGTGAAGGTATGCAATTAACAATACAACTTTGCAACCGCTCCCACAACAATTGCACCCGTTCGTTTCTCATCTATTGTCTAAACGCGGTTTGCCAACAAATTTACCTTATATGCATATGAAAGTCGTCAACATTTATATCCGTTTAGAATGTTACAGTAACAGTTAATCATAAAAGACTTTTATACTTCACTGAAAATGACAATAATGACCTTTACAGTCTAATTGGACGTTATTATTTAAAGAAAACCAACTCGATCGCTTAAAGTGCCTATACCATATTGTGGATTTTCAATATGTAAAAAGTTTAAGGTGTTATTAAAAAAATGCAATACATTTTGTTAGAGAAAAATCTTGATGGATTTATCTTAGCCTTTAAAGTTACCGGACCAGACCTCAAATCCTGAAATGCAGATCAGGTTTTTTTTGTTTAATTTATTTGACGCTATGTCCGGCAAGTTTAAAGGCTAATAAATCCATCCAGACAAAATTTTTCATTAACAAAGTATATTGCAAAGTTTTTTGAAATATCTTAAACTTTTGATGTATTCAAAATCTACAACCATGGTATGGGCAGTTTGTTATTCATGATTTATTATATGGCTGTTCAAAATCATTTCTTCTGATTAGTTGAGAGTGGGTCGTAAAACCCATATCCGGAGTGTGGTCCGTTTACTCCGTACCTGGACCAGTTCAGGCGTATAATAAACAGATTATTGACCTCGCTTGTTCAATCTGTGCTGTGAAATTTTAGACAGAGGTTTTTGCATGGATTATTCATTATCAATATATTTACGTTTAAGATGTTAAAAGTTAATCATAAGAGGCATTTATACTTCACTAAAAGTAACAATTATAACTACAGTCTAAATGGACGTTATTATATAAACATTCATTAAAGAAAATCAACTCGTACTATGTTTAATATTCATGATGTATTACCTTTAAAGATGTGGACGAATGCACATTTAAAACGCAAAATGTCACAGCCAAGCAACGTGTAAAAACACCGCTGGTTCGTTCAACTGTACCTGTAATGAAGGTTATACAGGAGATGGTACCATGTTTTTAATAAATTTTACTACTTCATTATTTCGTCATCTGATTTGTTTTAAATTTAAAAATTCAATCATTCTGGAATCGGCGAGACCATTAACAGGCAGGCATGTAACGCTGTCTTTGGCACACCTATAATTATACTATAAATTATGCTCAGCAAGATAATAACCATTAATAGTTATTGATAAAAAGCATTTATACTTCAAAAAGTGACAATTATAAATTAATTATAATGTCTAATTGGACGTTATTATATGAACGCACGTGCATTAAGGTAAACCAACTCAGTCGTTTAATATTCAATCTTTATTGCCTTTGAAGATATTAACGAATGCACAGTTGGAGCTCATAATTGTCACAGTCAGGCAACGTGCAGTAATACCACTGGGTCGTTCAATTGTACCTGCAATGAAGGTTATTCAGGAAATGGAACCATGTGTGAAGGTATGCGATTAACAATACAACTTTGCAACCGCTCCCACAACAATTGCACCCGTTCGTTTCTCATCTATTGTCTAAACGCGGTTTGCCAACAAATTTACCTTATATGCATATGAAAGTCGTCAACATTTATATCCGTTTAGAATGTTACAGTAACAGTTAATCATAAAAGACTTTTATACTTCACTGAAAATGACAATAATGACCTTTACAGTTTAATTGGACGTTATTATTTAAAGAAAACCAACTCGATCGCTTAAAGTGCCTATACCATATTGTGGATTTTCAATATGTAAAAAGTTTAAGGTGTTATTAAAAAAATGCAATACATTTTGTTAGAGAAAAATCTTGATGGATTTATCTTAGCCTTTAAAGTTACCGGACCAGACCTCAAATCCTGAAATGCAGATCAGTTTTTTTTTGTTTAATTTATTTGACGCCATGTCCGGCAAGTTTAAAGGCTAATAAATCCATCCAGACAAAATTTTTTATTAACAAAGTATATTGCAAAGTTTTTTGAAATATCTTAAACTTTTGATGTATTCAAAATCTACAACCATGGTATGGGCAGTTTGTTATTCATGATTTATTATATGGCTGTTCAAAATCATTTCTTCTGATTAGTTGAGAGTGGGTCGTAAAACCCATATCCGGAGTGTGGTCCGTTTACTCCGTACCTGGACCAGTTCAGGCGTATAATAAACAGATTATTGACCTCGCTTTTTCAATCTGTGCTGTGAAATTTTAGACCGAGGTTTTTGCATGGATTATTCATTATCTATTTACGTTTAAGATGTTAAAAGTTAATCATAAGAGGCATTTATACTTCACTAAAAGTAACAATTATAACTACAGTCTAAATGGACGTTATTATATAAACATTCATTAAAGAAAATCAACTCGTACTATGTTTAATATTCATGATGTATTACCTTTAAAGATGTGGACGAATGCACATTTAAAACGCAAAAATGTCACAGCCAAGCAACGTGTAAAAACACCGCTGGTTCGTTCAACTGTACCTGTAATGAAGGTTATACAGGAGATGGAACCATGTGCACAGGTACGTAGTTTGCATTACAATTTCGTCATTATTTTGCTCTAAATTTAAAATCTAAAATTCTGGAATCGGCCGAGACCATTAACAGGCAGGCATGTAACGCTGTCTTTGGCACACCTATAATTATACTATAAATTATGCTCAGCAAGATAATAACCATTAATAGTTATTGATAAAAAGCATTTATACTTCAAAAAGTGACAATTATAAATTAATTATAATGTCTAATTGGACGTTATTATATGAACGCACGTGCATTAAGGTAAACCAACTCAGTCGTTTAATATTCAATCTTTATTGCCTTTGAAGATATTAACGAATGCACAGTTGGAGCTCATAATTGTCACAGTCAGGCAACGTGCAGTAATACCACTGGGTCGTTCAATTGTACCTGCAATGAAGGTTATTCAGGAAATGGAACCATGTGTGAAGGTATGCAATTAACAATACAACTTTGCAACCGCTCCCACAACAATTGCACCCGTTCGTTTCTCATCTATTGTCTAAACGCGGTTTGCCAACAAATTTACCTTATATGCATATGAAAGTCGTCAACATTTATATCCGTTTAGAATGTTACAGTAACAGTTAATCATAAAAGACTTTTATACTTCACTGAAAATGACAATAATGACCTTTACAGTCTAATTGGACGTTATTATTTAAAGAAAACCAACTCGATCGCTTAAAGTGCCTATACCATATTGTGGATTTTCAATATGTAAAAAGTTTAAGGTGTTATTAAAAAAATGCAATACATTTTGTTAGAGAAAAATCTTGATGGATTTATCTTAGCCTTTAAAGTTACCGGACCAGACCTCAAATCCTGAAATGCAGATCAGGTTTTTTTTGTTTAATTTATTTGACGCTATGTCCGGCAAGTTTAAAGGCTAATAAATCCATCCAGACAAAATTTTTCATTAACAAAGTATATTGCAAAGTTTTTTGAAATATCTTAAACTTTTGATGTATTCAAAATCTACAACCATGGTATGGGCAGTTTGTTATTCATGATTTATTATATGGCTGTTCAAAATCATTTCTTCTGATTAGTTGAGAGTGGGTCGTAAAACCCATATCCGGAGTGTGGTCCGTTTACTCCGTACCTGGACCAGTTCAGGCGTATAATAAACAGATTATTGACCTCGCTTGTTCAATCTGTGCTGTGAAATTTTAGACAGAGGTTTTTGCATGGATTATTCATTATCAATATATTTACGTTTAAGATGTTAAAAGTTAATCATAAGAGGCATTTATACTTCACTAAAAGTAACAATTATAACTACAGTCTAAATGGACGTTATTATATAAACATTCATTAAAGAAAATCAACTCGTACTATATGTTTAATATTCATGATGTATTACCTTTAAAGATGTGGACGAATGCACATTTAAAACGCAAAAATGTCACAGCCAAGCAACGTGTAAAAACACCGCTGGTTCGTTCAACTGTACCTGTAATGAAGGTTATACAGGAGATGGAACCATGTGCACAGGTACGTAGTTTGCATTACAATTTCGTCATTATTTTGCTCTAAATTTAAAATCTAAAATTCTGGAATCGGCCGAGACCATTAACAGGCAGGCATGTAACGCTGTCTTTGGCACACCTATAATTATACTATAAATTATGCTCAGCAAGATAATAACCATTAATAGTTATTGATAAAAAGCATTTATACTTCAAAAAGTGACAATTATAAATTAATTATAATGTCTAATTGGACGTTATTATATGAACGCACGTGCATTAAGGTAAACCAACTCAGTCGTTTAATATTCAATCTTTATTGCCTTTGAAGATATTAACGAATGCACAGTTGGAGCTCATAATTGTCACAGTCAGGCAACGTGCAGTAATACCACTGGGTCGTTCAATTGTACCTGCAATGAAGGTTATTCAGGAAATGGAACCATGTGTGAAGGTATGCGATTAACAATACAACTTTGCAACCGCTCCCACAACAATTGCACCCGTTCGTTTCTCATCTATTGTCTAAACGCGGTTTGCCAACAAATTTACCTTATATGCATATGAAAGTCGTCAACATTTATATCCGTTTAGAATGTTACAGTAACAGTTAATCATAAAAGACTTTTATACTTCACTGAAAATGACAATAATGACCTTTACAGTCTAATTGGACGTTATTATTTAAAGAAAACCAACTCGATCGCTTAAAGTGCCTATACCATATTGTGGATTTTCAATATGTAAAAAGTTTAAGGTGTTAAAAAAATGCAATACATTTTGTTAGAGAAAAATCTTGATGGATTTATCTTAGCCTTTAAAGTTACCGGACCAGACCTCAAATCCTGAAATGCAGATCAGTTTTTTTTGTTTAATTTATTTGACGCATGTCCGGCAAGTTTAAAGGCTAATAAATCCATCCAGACAAAATTTTTATTAACAAAGTATATTGCAAAGTTTTTTGAAATATCTTAAACTTTTGATGTATTCAAAATCTACAACCATGGTATGGGCAGTTTGTTATTCATGATTTATTATATGGCTGTTCAAAATCATTTCTTCTGATTAGTTGAGAGTGGGTCGTAAAACCCATATCCGGAGTGTGGTCCGTTTACTCCGTACCTGGACCAGTTCAGGCGTATAATAAACAGATTATTGACCTCGCTTTTCAATCTGTGCTGTGAAATTTTAGACAGAGGTTTTTGCATGGATTATTCATTATCTATATTTACGTTTAAGATGTTAAAAGTTAATCATAAGAGGCATTTATACTTCACTAAAAGTAACAATTATAACTACAGTCTAAATGGACGTTATTATATAAACATTCATTAAAGAAAATCAACTCGTACTATGTTTAATATTCATGATGTATTACCTTTAAAGATGTGGACGAATGCACATTTAAAACGCAAAAATGTCACAGCCAAGCAACGTGTAAAAACACCGCTGGTTCGTTCAACTGTACCTGTAATGAAGGTTATACAGGAGATGGAACCATGTGCACAGGTACGTAGTTTGCATTACAATTTCGTCATTATTTTGCTCTAAATTTAAAATCTAAAATTCTGGAATCGGCCGAGACCATTAACAGGCAGGCATGTAACGCTGTCTTTGGCACACCTATAATTATACTATAAATTATGCTCAGCAAGATAATAACCATTAATAGTTATTGATAAAAAGCATTTATACTTCAAAAAGTGACAATTATAAATTAATTATAATGTCTAATTGGACGTTATTATATGAACGCACGTGCATTAAGGTAAACCAACTCAGTCGTTTAATATTCAATCTTTATTGCCTTTGAAGATGTTAACGAATGCACAGTTGGAGCTCATAATTGTCACAGTCAGGCAACGTGCAGTAATACCACTGGGTCGTTCAATTGTACCTGCAATGAAGGTTATTCAGGAAATGGAACCATGTGTGAAGGTATGCAATTAACAATACAACTTTGCAACCGCTCCCACAACAATTGCACCCGTTCGTTTCTCATCTATTGTCTAAACGCGGTTTGCCAACAAATTTACCTTATATGCATATGAAAGTCGTCAACATTTATATCCGTTTAGAATGTTAACAGTTAATCATAAAAGACTTTTATACTTCACTGAAAATGACAATAATGACCTATACAGTCTAATTGGACGTTATTATTTAAAGAAAACCAACTCGATCGCTTAAAGTGCCTATACCATATTGTGGATTTTGAATATGTAAAAAGTTTAAGGTATTATTATCTTAGCCTTTAAAGTTACCGGACCAGACCTCAAATCCGGAAATGCAGATCAGTTTTTTTTTTGTTTAACCGATTTGACGCGATGTCCGGCAACTTTAAAGGCTAATAAATCCGTCAAGACAAAATTTACAAAGTATATTGCAAAGTTTTTTAAGATACCTTAAACTTTTGATGTATTCAAAATCCACAACAATAGTATGGGCAGTTTTATATTCATGATTTATTATAATGCGGTTTAAAATCATTTATTCTGATTGGTTGAGAGCAGTCCGTAAAACCCATATATGGAGTGTTGTCCGTTTACTCCGTACCTGGACTAGTTCAGGCGTATAATAAACAGATTGTTGACCTCGTTTGTTCAATCTGTGCTGTGAAATTTTAGACAGAGGTTTTTGCATGGATTATTCATTATCTATTTACGTTTAAGATGTTAAAAGTTAATCATAAAAGGCATTTATACTTCACTAAAAGTAACAATTATAACTATACAGTTTAATTGGACAGTATTATATGAACATTCATTAAAGAAAACCAACTCGGTGGTTAATATTCATGATTTATTACCTTTGAAGATTTGGACGAATGCACACTTAAAACGAATAATTGTCACAGCCAAGCAACGTGTAAAAATACCATTGGTTCTTTCACTTGTACCTGCAATGAAGATTATACCGGAAATGGAATTACATGCGAAGGTATTTTTCATTACAACTTTGGTGATGCTAGTGCGACCATTGCTCGCGTTGGCTGCTCATTATTTGTGAATCCTGGTTGCACCGTCTTAAATTTACCGAGTGTTAATCCACCGGCTATAAAAATTAATACGCTTGAATTTACTCGGGATTAAAAGCTTCTTGTAACTTTTATTTATCAGGAACCATAGTTATGATTTGCACAGTCTAGTCTTGCATTGTATACTCTTACATATGCAGCATTAGTTTGTCGATTTGAAAGTAAAGCATTGTTATTTGTTGAGGAAAACCTCGTCACTGTAAGCGCAAATGCGGTCTTTCTTTTTTCGCATAGATAGAGTTTTCTTCATACCTAAATGACGCGTGAAATTATCCAAAACGATTTTGATGTCATGATCTGCTTAAACCTTTCGTACATAATACAAATCGGTATTATACCCTAGCCGGCTGATGATTTTTTCCCGATTTGCTAATATTATTTTGGTGTTCAATGACTGTGAATATAATGAATTTTTAAATGAAGCAATGAAGAAAATAAAAGTAAGCTAAATTTTAATTTGATATCCTGACTTATATGTCTTTCCACATTCAATGGGGGTTTATTCCAGTTCAAGAGCTTTAATTTTTTTCACGTTATGGCAAATGAGAATTTTTGGTACATCCCATCTAACAATAGACCTTTTCAGCTTGTATGCAAATTGACCCATTTCAAGTTATTTTTCTTGGTTATTCCATGGTCACAACATATGAAATAGGTTAACTTAATTGCATGTAAGCTGAAAAGGTTTATTTGGTTCGATTGGAATCCAATCACATTACATGAAGGTGCGAAATTTACTTCTATAAATACGCTTCTTTACTGTCTCTCTAATTCAATTTTACTCTTTAAATAAAAGCAAACGATTATTACAACCTCGTACCCGAGGCAAATAAGTGCAAAAAAAATAAATCTTCGCGCTAGATACATCACAATTTTAATTGACTGCAATGACGTGAGGAAGCAGAGTATCGGCGCAGTTCATTAGGCTTAGTTGCACTTACTGCTTCCTGATAAAAAATCCCAAGATCAAAAATCCTAAAATCAAAATACATCGGATCGCCTTCAATTTAGGTGCAGCGGGAGGTTTCCAAAAAAGGTTAAATTTAATTCCAGCAGAATCTAGCTAGGTTAGCGTTAACCGGTTTTTAATAAACAACTGGGCGACCAGGATTCTTTTGAAGCTGCTCAAACTTTTAGTTGGAGATATTAATGTAGATACACCTTAAATGAAATGCATTTTATTCAAGTTTTACTCTCCCGAGCTACGTGCAAAAATGCAAAACATCCTTTTCAACAAATGCATGAAAAAGATTTCTTGTCCAATAAATGTAGAAATAACCCATAACATGAGAAAGAGGCTCAGGGGCGAAGACCGCAAGCCTCGTTCTCGAGTTATTACTTATTTCCATACCTATTTATCAAAATGAAAAATTCTTTTTCGTCAATGCGGTGAAGAAGGATGTTTTGTATCTTTGCGCGGCTCGTGAGAAATCCATCTCATTTACTTAAGGTAAAACGATAATGTTGTGACGTAATTACCCAAAAGGTCTATTGGATTTTCCATATCTTTCTTTCCAGACATAAACGAATGTGTTGGAGAATCGCGAAAATGTTCAGGTCAAGGTCAAGAATGTGTTAACTTCCCTGGAGCATACCGTTGCCATTGTACCAGTCCACGACAGCAAATTGTTGATGAAGAATGTACTGGTAGGTTTCGCGTGCATGTAGCTTAACATCGTTGGCAACCTGGGTCACCTGCATGTGCCTGAACTTCCTCTTAAGCCGATTGTTTGTTTTCAATGCAATACAAGCCTAGCCAATTGCTGATAACCAGTCTGGTTCACATTTCGCGCATGCGCCTAATCAACAAAAACATCGATTTTCTAATGTCCAGCATGCACTGTCCATAAATCTAGAATTTAAACAACTTTGGGTCTGTATATTGTGCGACAAAATGCTCTGGCGTCATCACAATATCTGGCCAGAATTTGTACCCCTAAACATTGCTTAAACATCACGAGTACTATAATTCCTGAATTGTACTCGACATCGCATGATTAGCTCTACAAGTTGCATATTTTGCGAGTTGTAATTGCACTATTTCTCATAGCGAATAAAAAAACACTCTAGTATATACAACTAGCCAGTCGCCATTCAGAATACAAAATATGAAATTTATCAATTTTTGTTTTTCAAAATGTATTTATTACCAAGTACTGAAAATTTTGAAAATTATCTTGGTTGATTTTGTAACCATCCGAATGATTTTGCCAAAGTAAATAAAATAGCGCGAAATTATTTGCATAGAAACTAAACAGTCCTGTACGTCCTAGCAAAGGCTATAAAGTTACGAAATACTAGAAAAAGTAGAAAATATTGTATAAAAATCTGAAAGAAGTGTGTTAAAAATTATGTCTTAAGATGGTCTAGTAGATTAAAATTTTCTCTCTTATTTTGAAAAAGATAAAAATCTTTTCATGACATATTGCAAGCCAAGTTGCTCTGAGTAAAAAAAGAATTGTAGGAATCTTCAATCACTATACAGTAATCCCTCGCTAACTCGAACTCCCAAGGGGGAAGAAAAATTGTTCGAGTTACCGGGGGTTCGAGTTAACCGGAGTTGGTGTCAGATTACGTTTATTATAAGTAATACAATAAGATATAAAATCCAATCGAATCATTCTTCAAGGGATACCAGGCCTCTCAATATGAATGGTCAGCGAGAGTGGACGACGTTTTGAAATTAAAAAGATCGAAAGAATACAAAATGAACTAAAAAAGTTAGATCAATAACGACCGTAGCACCACACAAAATCTTTTAAAATTTATAAGCATTTATATACAATTATACACTGATTAACTTGTTGTTATTTTGATCGTTTCCAGTTGTCAAAATTCTATCTTCTCACATTTTAAAGTTTGCTGATCTATGATTCGAAGCCAAAATTCGAGTTAACCGGATATATTTGACCAAGGGGTGACAAAATTTGTTCAAATTAGCGAGGAGTTCGAGTTAAGCGAGTTCGAGTTAAGCGGAATAAATTACTGTAAAAAACATTATCAAATTCAAGGGGAATTGGATTTAGTTCGAGTTAGCGAGGAGTTCGAGTTAAGCGAGTTCGAGTTAGCGGGGGACTACTGTAGTTACCCAGACCAAAAACATCAAATGGTGGAAGATAGACGATTTTTGTGAACACGATAACAAACTGGGTTTTGACGCTTGAACGACTGAACTAGTTTTATTTAGTTCTAAATATTTTTTCTCGGAGCTGAACTAATAAATAAAACTTCTGCAGTAATAAACGTTTTGCCATCGACTCCTTTTATTTGCTTGAGGTAAAACCTTAATTAATTACATTTTTCGTTTAATTCTTGCGTTCTTCATATACTTTTTGAGAACAAATATTCAGTATCGATTACGGAAACGTTTAAGTTTGCACTTTTCATCCCTGGAAATTTTTAAAACAGAATAAATCGTGATTTCAATGTTAGTACATTTAAAAGACTGCGACAAAGGGCTACGAAGATTTTACGATTTTATCATATCAAAAAGAAACAAACATTTATGTTTGGGGTAATGAAGCGAGTGGTGCAATGCATGATTATGAACGATTTAAATATAAATAAAGCTCCACTGGACCAAAAATATGTACTTACATCAGGTACTAATAAGTTACACAGGTATTGTAAAATCAACATTTCGTTTTCCAATATAAGATCGTTTTGTTGTCATAATGTATCTAAACATTGATCGGCAATACCCCTTAGGTTTAGACAGTGTTGTAAACAACTTGTAAAATGAATTTGTACTAAATAAGATTTGAATGCACATGCAAACCAGTTACAAACACTAGTGGTTGTATTTTTCCGATACAGTCAATCTAATTTGTATGTGGTATACAGGGTGTGAATGTGACCTTATTCACGAAATTTGGTTGGGTAAAAATGTCATTAATTATTCATGCTTTGATATGATTATACAGTGTTTGCCAACCATCACAGAAGATTATGATTAATGAAATAACTCAGCTCGCATTCATTTTAGTACACGCATACACTCCATACAGTATGCATGACTCTGTTACACAATTAAAATTTTACAGTATACATGTCCTGTCCTACCCCGCATAAACTAATTCAATTAAAACGCAACTTACACGCGTCTTCTCTTCCCTTTTATAGATATTCAGGCCTCTGTCGAAGGTCAATTTGTGATTATAAATCGCGTCTACATCTCTGCCTATGATGATCCACAAAGTTTAGAATACTTTCAATTTACTGAACTGTTACTCAATGAGGTACGTCAGCAACGTCATTCTGATAAATATTCATGGTGGCTCGTGTGCTTTTTGCTTAAATTTCTATTATGTTTTGCCGCACTGATTGCCCGCCCCCCCCCCCTTTGAATAATTGTGCAAATTTTAAACGATTTCGCGCAACGTATATTCAATGCGCTAAAAATTTAGATAATTAGCCTTACTTTTTCGAAACTCATAAAACAATATTTAAAACTGCGATGGTAAGTAATCGACTATAAGGTTTACCGTTTTAGAGGTGTAAGTTTCGTCCTTGTAACGGACGATTATACCTATATAATTTCCTGTAAAAGATTTTAAAATCTTCAGCGATAGAAGAACCGACGTCATGCATGAACAACGAAATGTTATGTTTAATACACAAGAGAGTTTTTCTTTTTTAAGAAAATTACTAATTTTGCAACGTAAGAAATTAGTTTATTTGTACAAGGTAAAACTTTTTAAAACATGTTCGTAAGAATTGGGCGATTGTGATTGGAAATGGGAATGGCTGTTTCAACCCCTAAAAGAAAAATTAACTTTAACTGAAATCATCAATTTATGAACACAACCACGTGTATTTGTTATATGCAGAGCTTTCTATCTTTTACCCGGGCCTGTGCATGTCAGTGCAATATTCACCATTGCACTACACAAATCCCGGGGTAACAAACCAAAAGTTAAAAAAATTGATGACTTAAGTATTAATTGATTCACCATGCAAAATGTCAAAAAAGTTTAATTTTCTTACAAAGAAACATCGCTGATATTCCAATAATACTATAATCCTAATATTAACACTATAAAAAGTCCACAAAACGTAATGTTTTCTGAGGTATCGGTAAATAAGTTTTTTACTCTATATCAGATATCACTTGCCAAAGAAAAGCCAAACACGGTAAACAGCGAAATATGCGCCACACGTGATTATAGTTGTTATTTCCCATGAGAAATAGCGCGTTATCTCCCTTTGCTGGGGTTGCGTGGGCGACGTTCGTCACTCTCGCGTGATTGTAGCAAAAACAAAATGGCCGACAGTTTTGGTTAGGACTGATAAAGAGAAATTAAAACACTCTTTGAAATTTCAGTTTCCAGAGATCCAAAACAAAATATGAAATAAAAATATTTAGGAGGAAGTAGAACTGACAAAAGGTAGTTCTTTGTTCATGAGAACGGGTTTTTCAATTCAAATTTAATTAACATGTAAACTTTCAGTGAAAGATTGACTGAGATAGTCGATCGAGTTAAATTTTTTACAATTTATTGTATAGCAAATATACCACTTGCTCCCGTCGTATATATGCATGGCTGATAGCCAACTCGGTGCTATATACGCATCTTGTCGGATATCAGCTGATATAATCATACGACTTGAGCTCGTGGTGTAATTTTTAAACATATATATACATAAATATGTACAATAATTCATATTTTGTCTTCTTATAGCTTACGAACCTCTACACGAGAACAGCGAGGCTACGTTTCACCTTTCAGTCAATCATCATTTTACGACTATTGTAAGTTTTAACAGCCTTTTTGAGATTTTGCTCAACTCTTTATACAGCGCCTTAGCTGTACAGGTGCATATACAGGGTGTCCCAAGAAACCCCTCAAAACTTTTACAATCGCGTGTTCTTAAGATTTCAATGATCAACGGATTTCTGCCTGCGGGGACTTAACGCAAATCATAAAATGCTAAATACAAAAATGTACAAATTGAAACTTCAACCCGTGTTGAAACTTTGTGTTGTTGTCAGGTAATCGCGTAAATACGGACAAAAAAAATTCGCTTTGAGAATGCTTTTTCGTTTGTTTATTTCATTTTTATGTTCAGTCATAGTCCCTTTAAGTTATTGTCACTTTGGATTTTTTAAAGCGCTCGAAGAATCGAAATAGGTCTACTACCGGCCTTTACAGAGGAAATTAGTCGAGCATAAGACGAATATATGAATATACACTCCACTCCCAGTTAAGCCTTTAGCTACAGTGCTCTCTTTATATACTTCTCTTTACGCATTTTTGGTTTGTTTAGATTTCGTTTATTACAGAAACGGACTGAAGCCCCGTTTACCCTATACAGTAAATTTTTTGGAACGGCACAGCTAAAATGGGTACGCGTGCCCCATTTCTTAGTGCTCAAGCTGACAATACAAAGGTCGGGAAAGAATAAAATGGGCAGTGGTATGCTCATTTTTCCGTGCCGTGCCGATTAACTGAGTGTAGTGTAAACGGGGCATGAGCCATCATATTTTAGCTTTTCATAACCGCGTTAAACCTAAAAATAATATGTGGTCCCAGCATACAATATATACAGACGATGGAGTTTTTTTTATTTGCTTGGTGAAGACGCAATGTTTGCGAATCGCTATTCAGTGTATCGAACAAATAGAAAATTCCCTAGTCCCCGCAAAACGCTGTGCGAAAGACTATTTACTCACAGAGATTTAAATTTCACTTCTTGCTCTATATGATATATAGAGCCTATCGATGGAAGTCCTAAGATAAAAGTTCGTAGGCTATAAGGGCTGCATGTATGCCTCGAGTGACGAGTTTATTTATCTTGGGGGATTTTGATTCATTGAAAGGTTGCTCTATTTTGTGCTGTTTTTTTAATATAGCCGTATTATTTATAGGGTTGCACTTTTTATTCCATTTTAGTAAAAAATTTTGTCGAATTTCTCACATTTTTAATTGGAAAAACTGATCCACTTGAGCGTTGCATACTTGCTAAACTCCCCCCCCCCCCCCACCGCCTTTGTAGCTTTCTCAGCGATCGACTCGAAATCCGTATCGAACCGTTACAAATATTATATGATTTACATGCAGATTTTTCCGTGGAAATCGCCCAGATCATTCACAGAAATAATTGTTTCCTGTTATCGTAATTTCTACTTTCTTAGTGTCATATACATTTCAGTCCCGGGCAAAATTACTGTATCAAAATCTAATCCCCATAAAATTATGGAACTGATAGAAAATATATTATTCGCGATTAACCTATCGAAATGCCACTGGATGCTAAAGAACAAAAGTTTCTGGTGGTAAACGTGAAGTCACGAATCTTGCATTATAATATGTTTAGATAAGTCTAATTTTCTCTTTTCACGATTACAGCCCAGGATCTGTTGTTTCTGATTACGTTGCAACATTCAATGATTCCACTGGAATAAACAGTAACAATATTCAAGACGAATTGGTCGAGTCAATGAATTTCACACAAAACGGCACATTTCTTGGGGCAGATCTCCAAATCAGCAAGAGCACAGATCGCACTGTAGTAAAAGGCCTTTTCAGTGTGAAAGGTATGTAACTCCCAAATATATTTTCGTTTTATTGAATATTTTCGCTAGAAGAAATACATGCATGCAAAATCCGCTCGCCTGAAGCAATTAACATATTTTCCAACAGTAAAATTTTATAATAGGCGAATTCATATTAGAGACGGGAAACTCGTCTAAGAGGGGAAACTCGTCTAACGTGAATTCGATCACAGACGCGTTTCTCGTCCGAATTTACCCGCCTAACTTTCCTGTCTAAACAGACGGGTAAGTTGGACGGGAATCCCGCGTCTAAACAATTTTATCGTAATAATTACGATACCCTTTTTGGCATTACCCGACCCATCACACGTATAACTTTATCCATTCCTATTCAATATATTTTGACGAAGATTTAGCATCAACTTTCCCGTTTAATATATGAATTCGGCTAATGCTCGTTTCTGCTGAATGATCGAAGGCGTATAAGTAAAATCCTATATAGCTATAATCAAGTACAATTATAAAGTCGATTCTTGCAGATTCAACAATGATCACAATTGTCCTGCGAATAGTTTGAACAATTTTTAACAATACTACAAACCAGGTTCACATTAAAAATAAATGCTTTACTAATCAAAATAATTTTAACGAATTTGATGAAAATAATTCAAATTTGTTGATAAATCCACAAAAATCCACATAACTTACAAAACACGTGCATGCTTTGAAATAAAAAATCTACCTTTTCAAAAACATGTAAGAACAAATGATTTACCAGAATTGAAAAACTGTGTAATACTGCCCCTGTGCATAAAAAATCATTTCCTTCTTTCACTTTTAGAATCTTTGATTTTAGCTATCCGAAGGCATAATTTACATTCTCTTTTAATCAATTTCACGAGTCAATTTATCGTAAATTTTCAAGATCATCCAAGTGAAAAAATGAATATTTTTTTTAAAAAAATTCAAAATATCAGTTATGCTGACGCGAACCGATATTTTATTTTAGCTAATAATAGCACATTTGCAAACGTTTGCTAGTCACCAGTTTCAACTCGTGTTGAATTTATACAAAAACACGTCCAGCGTCCATAATGACGGGCAACTTCAATTTAGTATTTGCATTCCCGGTAATTAAATTCTCCGGGCGGAATTAGTACCCTTGCCCGGCGCCCTGTAAAATATGCGCAATTTATAAACTTGTACAATGCATTACAAGCATTTAATGAAGCACAAATATAATTCCGACTGTATTTTCATCGAACAGAGAGCTGAGAGCTTATAGGACGAAACAGATGTATAGACATCTCTTACGTGAATATATATCACATTCGATGATAGGATCGATTAACGCGTCGTAGCATCAAGTCATGCATAGACATAATTCGCGCAGTTTTATATAGCTAACATTTAGATTATTTACTATGCAAGTATTTTGGCTATTCCGGATCCTTTAAAATAATTGGAGGATAAAATTTTTTTACATCATACATCTCGTTACATTTATTTGACAAAGAAACGCGGTGTATTTTGTATCTGTGAACTGAGAAAATTGCATGAGCAACTAAATGAATCATAGACATATTAGCAATAAACCTTTTGCTTGATTCAGTGTTTTGTTTAACCTGGACCTTTAAATTTTTTCTGGCAGAAGTCAAAGCCCTGAATCTGTTAGATAGGGACAAACGTGTGGTTGTTTAGGGCATGAAAACTTTGCACTATCCTTGGATCCCTAAGAGAAATATTATTTACAACAGAATATGATTATGCAAATGTTGCACATGTGCAAGGGAGAGAAAATGGTTTATATCTTAACTACAAATACATGCATGCAGCAATCCTCGCTATTTCAAAGTCAAGTAGATGCTCTTCCGAGCTAGCCACAACTCAGGTTATATTGTGAAACGACTGCAATGAATTGACAGCTAATAATAGTTCTGATAAAAGTGAAGAAAACATCACCCATATTTCTGCTGCATTAAGCGCCAGGTAATATTATGGACTCTTATACAGCCTAAGTAAACAGTAGCTACGTCAAATGTTATTCCTCGAATATTTATGTAGCGAATATTTGCATTTTCTCAGTAGTCGACGTTAAAAACATTTAAGTGAGATTTTTTACCAAAATTCAAATTTACACTTTCAAAAACAGTTAGAGCAATGTTGTGCTCGCTTTTCGTAATCAGTTATGTCTTTGCAAAACGACATGCCAAGTTCATATAAAATAAACTGGATCTCGGCAAGTATAAAATAATCAAAATTGATATGTACCTCTTTTTTAAAAAACACTTGGTACCTTATATATTATGTATCGGCACATCCTCATCCGTATCTGTATCTGTATATTAACTTATATAGTTTATCGATATGTTTGCCCAAAATAACTTTTCGTATTTTATTTTGTATAATGTTTTTAAAGTCGTCAGCAATTTAACTGTCATTTCGTAAACTCTTTTGTAAAAGTGTTTCATAAACTTGTTTCAAAATAAAACGAGAAAAAACAAGATAAAGGATGACAGATACAGTGGCGTAGCCAGCCCGAAAATTTAGTCATGCTATGCTAATTTTTTGGTGTAATTGACTGCGAAAACAATGAATTTCTAAAGAAATGAATAATGTTAATAACATAAAATTTGCATAGCATGACTAAATCGTCAGGCTGGCTACGCCACTGAGCAGATAACAAACATGGACACAGTTCAATAGAAAGCGGTGTAGGATAAATAATTCATAATGTGCAAACTTATAAGTGTTTTAAAAGGGTGCATCAACATTGTTTACACTTTATGAATTACAGTATGATTATTTTTGTACCGAACGATGGCAGTGTTCGCTATATATAATATACTCGATAAAATATAATATTAATTGATTCGAGATTTGAGTCATTTCATAATATGGGTTTAGGTCAGGTTAGCTTAGAGGCTTGTGTACTTGGTTTGAAGTAGCGAGGGGTTGGTGTTGCTGCATGCATGTATTTCTAAGTTATGTTGTATATGCAGTACACTATTTATTTAAAAAATATCACTTTATATACCAATGAGACTATATTAGCACATGCTTATAATTATATTATATAAATATCATGCATGTAACTATACCGTAAAGGAGATATACGTACACTCTTTTTACAATCTTTTTTTTTCTTTAACAGATTATGACGAATGCAATAAAAGTAGCATCCTGCATACTCCTGATTGTGGTAACAACTCACTATGTATGAACACAGACACAAGTTATAAGTGTGTTTGTCTTTCTGGATATGAAAAAAGTAACGGAAGCTGTCTTGGTAAGCATAAACACGTTCTGCTATACGGTTAAATATTCTATTTGTCTCAAAGTTTTGCATTTCTAATGTTACAATTCTTAACTCATTTTATTAGCCATTACTTTTGACAAAGATGATGTCAATATCGTCAGGAATTTGATGATTGTAGTCGTTATATGGAGTACACTGTGTTTTGCGATCGCCATTATTCTGGTTCTTATCGCTGGATTTAGGTAAGCCCCATTTACACTTGTTGGACTGAGATTTTTACTTTTCGTCGTTGAAAAAAAATTCTATTGATGCCCGTTAATTGTTCATGCAGGACGATTTCAGGTATCAGGTGTACGCGCATTGGGGGTAAAGAACTTTTAGTATTAACATATTTATATTATACAATAAAAACAATACAAAATGGATGCTTGGAAATACGGAAATTATTTCTTGCTGGTTGAACCCCGTTGGCGTAAACAAATTTCAAAATTCAAAACTAAGCCGACCATATTGCGTATTTGCTGTGACGTAGGGAAGAGTGATGTGTTCCCGACGGCTTTTCACAAAATTCAACCAAAAAGAGTTTGTATTTTCGCAAATTTCTCATATTTACAATGGCTTTTAAAACAAAAAAAATGTTTCGGAAATGTTTTGGGAAGTCAGTTGCCACATAGATTTAGTTTTTTGTGTATATTTTTGTATTTATAAGTACGAGTATTTTGATGTGTAACTTTGTGTATGTAGTTCGTAAATGTGAAAATACGACTTGAGAGTTGCCAACCTTATGTAAACATATACATAATACATAATTCAAGTGAAGTGCACTGAAAAAAATGGCGGCGCCCGCGATGATATGTCAACAGTTGAATTAAGGATGAGGATAATTCATGTAAAGCAACACAATAGCGGGCTATCTGTGATGTAGCCTGGCTATAGCTATGTTATAAATCTGCATAATCTCCCACGTAAAACAGTTGAGCAATGAAGATTGATTTCGCGTACTCTTTGAATAACATTTACTAATGCATAACCAACGAAAACTCCTATCTAATATGGTTTTATTATCTTATTAGCATGTGTGCAGAAGTGTATGATGAAAAACGTGAACAATTTGAGACAGAATTGCACTCAATGCCAGAGACTGTCACTTCTCCCGTCTACACGACATATCCTGCCATGGAACATTATTATGCAGACAACGAGTAAACATACTTTTTGAAATGAGGCCTATAAAATTGTTTTGCGGTTTTATGCACAACATAAAAATTTGTCCATAAATTTAATTATCTATGCACTCACATAACGTACTTATTGATTTCACGTATTATAATATTACTACTTTTATACAGTTTTTATACAGTTATACACTATTTAGTCGGCTATCAGCTCATGGTAATCGACTCGAGCTCGTGGTAATTTTTTTTATAATGTAGCTACTATAAACACCATTTTATGATAGAAATAAACATTGCGTAAAAAAATTAACCAGTTTCGCTATTGATTTACTTTCAGTCGATCTTTCGCTGAAAATATTATTAAATTTAATTTAAAAACGCGTTTTTATTAACAAAAAGCTGTTTATTGTCAGTTCTAATTACGGTCTCGCACGTAAATATTTTTTCTCCCATTTTGGTGATTTGTTTTAAATAATTTATGTGGAAACTAAACTTTCAAAGTGTTTTAATATCTCCTTTATTACTCCTAAGCATAACTGTTGGCCATTTTGTTTTTGCTAGAAGCGGAGTAATAGGGAGTAATAGAGAGTTATATATGGTTCCAGTTTTATTAAAGTTTATTACTGTCCCCTTTATGGTAGTTGCTACCGTAACCGTTTCGACAGACTATTCTACGGTTTCTCTGGATGACAGAATTTACCTGGAATGCTAGTGAGTTCTGCTGGTTCGTCAAGCTCTTCAGTCGTGATACTTTCGCGATGAAGTTGTCACCCTACGAATTCGCGTTTGAACGTCGGAGGAAATTGTTTCTCCTTGATCCAAGAACTTTGTAGCCTTTCGACAATAGATTGTCTGCTTTTTAAGATGGTAGGTAACTCGACGATGAAATGAATATTTGGGTTAATGCTATCTAGATTTTCAAGGGCACTTTGCACATCTTTGCGTTTCAGAGATGCATTGGAATCGTATCTTCGCCACCTGCAGGCGGGCGTAGGATAGGGTATTAGAGAGTTTATGATTCACTACGTTGCTAGGAAAGAGCGTTAGAAAGACTTGGTGACAAGCGCGGCCAATGCGTCGTGTGTGATTCCGACGCGTACTCTACGATTCTACAACGGAATTTTGTCTATTTTACGTTGTGATCACTACGCTACGAACTTCAATATCGAATATCGAATATTTTTTCATTCAAAACGTGAATATAAGATCTTATCTTTTGTTGTGTAATGAATTTATTCTTTTTATTCTTTTAACTACATTTTCTGTAGTATTCGATCGTTAAATTTAGTAATTTATTAGTAGCGTCCACATTTTTATCCTAGAACTGGAAGATTACAAAATACATATCCGAGATTGCATAAATTAATAAACAACGAATTACAACCACAAGCTCATCATTTTCTATTTCTTCTTGGCTGAACCTTTTGTGTTTCCAGTACAGGAGGCACTAGTGCAATTTGGACTGCCGGTTTGTTTCTCGAAAAGTTCAATCACGAAGTTCGTTTAATATAATCGTTTTCCATTTATATTATGCTAGCGCGTTGTGTTTGGTAACGTAAGGAACAGAATGGGATTTGGCTTGGGCCGCGTTTTGTTACCAAGCCTCTCTAACGCGTCTTCTCTAGCCGCGTCTTTTAACGCGTCTTCTCTAGCCGCGTCGTGAATCGTAAACTCCGTATTACTGCAAACGATCATTATCTCTGCGATGAAAGCACTATAACACTTCCAGAGACTTCTGGTGCAGTAGAGACAGCCTTCGAATTTAAAGCAATCTTTAAAGACTAATCATGAAGTATATCGTTACTATAAATAAAAATATCTTAAATAAAAATAAGTTGTTGCACAACGTTTGACACCACCGTTTTTTGCAATGTGGATGTTACGTAATATGGTTCTATAATTCTTATGCACATAAAGTTGAATATTTTTTGGCTTCAAACACGATTGGAATTCTCCATTATATTTAACAGATCGAGGGTTACATCAATAATTTATAATTTTCCTGTTGCCGTGCATGTTTTGATGTGATATTTTATGAAACTCGCACGTTTCCACTCTATGAAAGCTGCCCATAGTCCTGCACCTAGAACAAGTCAGGGAGATGATCGTTTTCCCCAGGGCACGAAAACTCCAAGATCGTGACGGAGATGATGTTAATCAGCCTTCTTTAGAAGAAATGCGGTGCCAATGTCGGGAAAAAAGGTGTGTCTGATCATGGCCGTTGCAATCTAGGATAAGAATCTGAGATATATAGGCTAGTTCACACTTAACCTTGGCAAACCGGTTTTATGTAGATTTACTATACGTTAGGTTTAGATTTACAATACATTTACACAACAACAATTGTCACACAACAAAAAATTAAATTGGACACATGAAAAAGATTATTTTACACGTAAAAAAATTTTGGGTGGAAAAAAAATGGACGAAAATTCGTCATAAGAAAAAGATTGAGATGAAAAAAAATTGACATGCAAAAAAAATTTGAAAGAAGAAAACATTTGAGAGGAAAAAAAATTTGGACACCTGAAAAAAATTGAAACGAAAAAATATTTTGCCACAAGAAAAAAAATTGACATGAAAAAAATTGAGCACAGGAAATAAAATTGAGACGAAAAAAATTGGCAGGGAAGAAAAAAATTGATACGAGGGGTACAATCTCCGGGCAATCTACTCTTACACGGCAAATAAGGCGCAGGTCTCAAACCGTTTAACCAACGCGCTGTAAACACACAAATATTGTTACACAAGAATAAAATTAACACAAAAAGAATTTGGACATATGAAAAAAAATTGGACACGTGAAAAAATTTTGGGTGGAAAAAAATTTGGACAAGAAAAAGGAAAGGAAAAAAATTGGATAGAGGAAAAAAATCGAGATGAAAAAAAATTTGGACACAGGAAAAAAAAATTGACAAAAAAACTCTACCGTCTATGATTAAGAACATTGGCGACTTTGAATGCGACCATTTTGTCAAAATAACCTGCAAAAAATTGTAACACAAGAAAAAGGTTTAAAGCAAAAAAGTTTGGACACAAGAAAAAATTTTCGCAGGTAAAAATTGAATACAAGAAAAAAAAATTGAAACGAAAATTTTTTTGCTACATTTCGACTATTTTCTGTCAAAATAACCTGGGGTACAATCTCCGAGCAGAATTAGTGCTCGGCAAATCAGGCACAGATGTCAAAATGTCCCAACGGCCCGCTGTAAAGTTTTTATTTTTCACTCTTTTTTCTCTCTTTGTTATTTTTCTATTTTTTTTGGAAATAAATTACAGCGTTTTTCTCCAAGCATGCGTAGAACCAAAGTGTACGGCACCTAAAATACAAAAAAAGGTTTTAATAAGGTTTCAATATGCTAGCCAAGTAAACATCAATTTCAAATTTAAAGATTTCATTGGTTAAGAGTACTTCGATTTCAGCATTGAGATCCAGTGCACTAAAAATTACGATTTACCCTGTTTTAAAAACTTCAAGAGTATAATCTTAAATCCATAATCGATCCCGAATATTTATTCTTTAAAAGATATATAAGGAAGGCGAGAAATAGATGAAAAGTTTTATCATTTCGAGTTTTACCCTGAGCAAAGGGGGACGATTGGCTTAGTCAATTGTATTCCGTTCAGTTTAAGTGAGATATTTTATATTTATTACCTGCGAAATGTTTATAATACTGCAAAAGTTTTATTTTTTGTAGACTCTAAATAAAACGAATGCCTTCGTTCCAGCGTTAAAACCTGGTTAGTTATCGTGTTTGAAAAAATCGTCCATTTTGCATCATTTGGTACGTCTGGTGTTCTTAACTTTTTTTCTCAGAATAACCTGCGTAGTACTATAGAAAGGATTAAATTTATAGTTATCCGAATTTAAAGAAGAAACTGCCAGACCTCCTTAATCCCACTCTTTAATTGCGAGTTGTAATTGTACTTTTCCTCATAGCCAATAAAAACTCACTCTAACTAGCCAATCAGCGTTCAAAATACAAAATGTAAATAGCGGAAGTTAAATTATAATAATTCTAAATTTACTATTTTCCAAGTGTTGTTGGGATAAAAATTTAGTAATTATATCCATGCTCAAAAGATTAAAGAAAATATATAATTAATAAACAATAATCGTGCATAGTTTCGAGTGCAATTTGGAAAAAAACATGCACTCTGCACTCGTGAGTTCAAGTCACAAAATTCAACTTAATTTCAAAATAAAACAGTTTCAATTAACGTTTCAACTTTTTACAATAACAATTATAACAGTTCGATGAACGTTTTGTCAGTATCTGAATCACTCTCGATTATGTGGAATCATCGTTTCCATGATTGTTCGCGTGGTCGTCTGTTGGTTTTCACCGAGAGATAAAATAAGGCCTTCGGCTTGCGTACTCCCGAAGCAACTTTCTCCTTGAGTTTAAAACAATCGTGGTTTGAAATTCCGAGGCTTGCAATTTAAACCACCTTGTCTGGTCTTCGTTAGCAAAGAAGTTTGTGTTGTATCGCAACGCCATTGTCCGCTTCGACAATGTTAAAGTCACCGGTTTCACATGTTCTAAAACGCTTGAAGCATGGGTTCTAAATTTTAGAACGACGCAATTAAGCGTCGCCAGATTATAATCTAAATAATCTAAGCGACGCTTTCGTTAGTTCAGTGTTAGTTACCAGGACCGGCGGGAAAGTAAATAACAACATGGCGGCTCGTCGAAGTGCTATGTTATCCACATCACAGCGTCCAAAGCGCTTTAAAGCGGCGAAAATCAGTGTTTTGAGTGTTTCAACGTCGGGAAAAAAATCAAGAAAAAGCTTTTCTTTAAAAGTTCGGAAAAATACAATTAGTGACAGAAGTGTTGATAGACAATATGGCCAAGGAGAGTTAGATTCAGCGGTGGATAATATAAATCAAGGCACATTTGAACAGGAAATATTTGACGAGTCAGATCAGGAGGGCCCTGTAACGTCTCAACACAATAAACGGAGATTTAAAGAGTTCAGTAGCTGGGGAAATATTCGGGAAGAACTGTTAAACGGCCGAATTGAGACAGAGGCCGAGGGGTTCTTTAATAGCAGCCAGAAATGTTGTGAATGTGGGCAAAATCAGGTTGATGTTCGTTGTAACGAATGTGGCATTGAGCAGTATTTCTGCCTATTATGTGCTGAAAATATTCACGGGCGACGAAATTATTTCCATGTTTTGGAAAAGCTTCAGGTAAATGCAATTCATACTTTATTTTCATGTAGAAAATAAGTAAATGTTAGCAAAACACCATGCAATCCAGAAAAAGAGGATAGAGTGTCATTTTTGTTTTCTTTTATATGTAGGATGAAAACATTGTGCCATTTTTTGTCAATCATGTTGTCATTGGAAGAGAGCATCAACAAAACTGTCCATCAGCCCAACCTAGAAATGTTGTTTGCATTGATCAGTTTGGTAATTAATTTCCTTTGTATAAACACATATATACTTGTAAGAGTTGTTGTTATTGTTAAAGGAGTTTCCATACATCTCAGGATAGAGTTTATCCATGAAATTCAAACATGATTTAGATTGAATAATTAGTTGCCAATTCTGTATGATATTTAGGTCGCCAACATCATAAACAGATACTGTTTTGTGATTGTGAGAAGGATGCTGTAACATTGATGAAAATGAAGTTATGGCCAGGAAGTGCAACAAGACCAACTCTTGCTTTCCAGGTTCAATTAATGGAGCTGGCTCGAACTCTTCTATTGGAGTGTCATGTTTCCCTGAAAAAGTTTTGTGATGCGCTAGGAATTTTTTCCAAAAAATCAACTCTTCCAAAATGGGTATAGTATTGTTTGTTTAAACATGCATTATCATTGCTACTAGAGGCTCACATTAGACTTCCACCACTGTGACCATTATATTAAAAAACATAACATACACATATCTTATTAATGGCTCACCAGATCACAATTTTTTGGCAGGTTAACAATATCTACTCCACACTAAATACTGATTCATTTGATGAATATCGGTAGAGTAACTATATAATTATTTTTGATATGTGGTACTGTAAATTCAGAAATGTAGAATGCTTATATGTTTGCATATCATATAATGCTGTATATATATTTAAAATCTAGCTATCATCAGTATTTGCTTGGAACTGGCTTTCCCATTAGAGAACAAACCATCACAAAGCACTCATGTCCTCTTTGTCCTAAGGTACAGTGGTAGTATTTATTAATTAACTGCCACATTAAATTTCAGGTTTGATTTAGAGCTGTATTACCTGTATATAGACATATAGTAAACATTGTCTTTGCACAAATGGCGTTGTAAAAAATAGTTTTGCAAGTAACTTGAATTTCTTCTTATAGGAAGGGGAATCTGGTATTCTTATAGAATCTATGGATGCTTGTTTTGGTTTGGTGCGAAAAAAGTCTGCTGCCAAATGTATTCTTCCCCCACGGCATCAACTGACTATGTTCGCAAATCAAACTGATGTTGATGAATTTGTTGAAAATTATACATCCAATGCCAAAAAAGCTGATACAGTAAGTATGCAATTTGAACCAATAATCTTGAACAACTGAAAGTGTTTTTATTAAGTCTTTTTCTATTATTTAGAGCTGCAATGAGTTTAAGGCTGGGGAAGTTAACAGTATGCTTCGGTCCAAAGGAAAAAATAGATTATATGATGAGAAAGGTGTTTTTGGTCGTGTATGCAGACATGATTATCCAAAAGGCTTTATAAATATCAAACATGGTGAAAGGTACAGTAATGTGTGTACAAATTGCCCATATATGTTTCACATGTTAATAGTTAATCATTTTACAGAATTGCATACTCTGTACATGAGCTAGAGCGAGTAATCAGGACTTCAGATGAAAATTGCAAGATTAGAATGACATATGATATTGCTTGCACATTGGTAGCACATTTAAAGGTAAACAAATGTACTAGTAAAACTAATTGAATTCTTATACTGGACTGTTTTTTCAACAAATTCGATTTTATTTAGCAAACAACTAAAAACATTTCAAATTTTCAATGCATTTTTGCTAAGTTGCATTATTGGGACATGTATTTTGGCAAATCAAAAATGTATATGCAGTATGGTATTTCTTTAGAAAAATTCAAGACAAGATATTTTGGACCGCATTGGGTTTGCAATACCTATTTTTCATTGCTATGGCCATAAGTCATCATGCCAGGTGATTTATTTGTTCTTTAACCACTAGTCTCTACTAATGTAGATGGTAAATAGCAAGGCTTTGATTAAATCAACAGCTTTATTACTTCAAAGGTTATAAAGAAGACTGCCACTATATAGTATCGCTGATAATATTGTTAATGTACTTCATGAAGTTCATACTTTACCTACCTGTTGAACTTCAATATTTGAACCTCTCAGGTAGAATTTAGTCCAAGACGACAAGAAGGGTATGGCCTGACAGATGGTGAAGGCATTGAAAGGCTGTGGTCTTACCTAAGAGGGTTTTCCTCAATCACCAAAGAAATGAGTGCTGGACGACGAACAGATGTGCTAACTGATGCTTTGTTACATTATGGTGCTCGTCAGCTTCGAAATTTCGGTATAGAATTGTCTTTAGGAAAAATAAGTGTGTAAAATAATTTTAATGTGCAACAATTGTATTGTTCAGGAACTTCATTGCAAGCGAAACTTAAAAGGTGCTCAAGTATAATAGTGCATACATTGTCGCAAATACAAGAACTATTTTCCAAATTGCCAGGTAATTTAAATAAAGCCTTTATATTAGTGTACTGACTATAAAAGAACAAAAATGTACAGAATATACGGTATAATAACTTCGTAATAATTTTAGTTGCATATGATCCGTTCCTTATTAACACTTGGATGGAAGAGGAACGCAAATGTATTCAAGAAAGGAATTCCAAGAAAATGCGTTCGTTGACATGGGAGGAACAATATGTTCAAAATCTTCTCCATCTTTACCAACTGAGGTAATTCTACTTTTGGACATTTGTATATTTAACTTAATTTATAACTAATGATCTTCTTTTTAATGTCTCCTAGAGCTCAGATTGGAAATATTCCAGAAGGAGATCACAGCCAACTTACAGATGTGGTGAAAAAAAGCAAAAAGTATAACAATTTTGTCGAGGGTTATAACTTGATGAATCAGCTTACTAGTGTATTGCATTCTCAACATTGTTACGTTGTCTCATGGATTCTTTTCTAATAGGGTTTTAAAAGCTGTTCAGCGTATAGAAAAACAACAAAAACTCAAAAAGAGATGGAAAACTGGAGAGAGTAAGTTCAACGCCGCCGCCATTTCTCTTGAACAAAGAAGGCAAGAGTCTGTGATGGAATTGACCTACTCTTCAGCGGTTGAAAGAATGTTTCTTATCTCTCTCAAGAACAAGTACGCAGGTAATGTATACGACAGGAAGGTTTTCAGGTAGTGTATTTTTATAACTTTAATATTTTTTGGTAGATGGGCAAGCAATTGCAGTCAAATTGTCCAAACAAATTTCACAAAGAACCAATGCCATCAAAGCTGCAGTTACCAGGTACAATGCATCATTGAATTCACTGGAAGACTGGATCCAAGAATTACCAGCAGAAATGCAATTTGAGGAAGCCAAAGATCCAAATTCCGTCATATACTCCCACCTAAATCACCAACAAACCAACGACACAGTGCCCTCCGCTGTGAAGAGAGCTGCAATTGATTCACATAATTTCTTAGAAAGGTGCAAAGAAGAACAGAGTATTCTGCTTTTAGAAGTCGAAAGGCTGTTTCGATACTACGTGGACAGAAAAGAAGAACTTGATAAGTACTGCATCACGCACTCTGGGGATCAACCAAAGCTCGTGAATGGTTTAATTGCAATGGCAAAGCAAGAAATTGTTGAAATATATAACGCATTATTTTTATTGAAGTCAAACCTTTCTGAGCACCTCAATGTGGAAGATATAATGATGAATGAAGTATGTATCAGAAAAATTGAAGCAGAACATTCGTGTGCTAAAGGTATGGGAAGAGAATTTGAATCCATTTCAAGTTTCGATGACGAAGTAGACGAAGAAGACACGCCATTGCTGGATTTTTCCGAGGACGATTCGGAAAGCTCCGATGACAGTCTAGAATAAACAAGTGAAGTCACTAAGACACACGCAGATAAAAAAGTGTAAATTCATATTTAAATACAATGTGGTCATGGGATCCTGTAAGCAGGTCATGTGGTCGTGTAAACATGTTTGTCCTACTTAAGGACTGTGTACTAGATTAAAAACAAATTATATGCACACATATTGTTCACACTCCAATGTATTTTTGTGTGCTTCATTTACATTCTAATTTAATTTATGTCAACTTACCCCATCTTAGGGTGCTTTACCACACTAACATAGCGTAGGTCACCTTAACTTGCCGCATAGTGGGGTGCTTAAATTGATACTTAAACGTAAGTTAGATCATGTTGATTCTTGTGTAATTTTTACATCTTAACCTAAGATGTGGTCATTGGGATCCTGTAATCAGGTCATGTGGTCGTGTAAACATGTTTGTCCTACTAAAGGACTGGGTACTTGATTAGAAACAAATTACACGCACTGCGCTTGTTCACACTCCAATGTATTTTTGTGTGCTTCATTTACATTCTAATTTAATTTATGTCAACTTACCCCTTCTTAGGGTGCTTTACCACACTAACATAGCATAGGTCACCTTAACTTGCCGCATAGTGGGGTGCTCAAATTGATACTTAAACGTAAGTTAGATCATGTTGATTCTTGTGTAATTTTTACATCTTAACCTAAGATGTGGTCATGGGATCCTGTAAGCAGGTCATGTGGTCGTGTAAACATGTTTGTCCTACTAAAGGACTGGGTACTAGATTAGAAACAAATTATACGCACAGAGCTTGTTCACACTCCAATGTATTTTTGTGTGCTTCATTTACATTCTAATTTAATTTATGTCAACTTACCCCATCTTAGGGTGCTTTACCACACTAACATAGCGTAGGTCACCTTAACTTGCCGCATAGTGGGGTGCTTAAATTGATACTTAAACGTAAGTTAGATCATGTTGATTCTTGTGTAATTTTTACATCTTAACCTAAGATGTGGTCATGGGATCCTGTAATCAGGTCATGTGGTCGTGTAAACATGTTTGTCCTACTAAAGGACTGGGTACTTGATTAGAAACAAATTACACGCACTGCGCTTGTTCACACTCCAATGTATTTTTATGTGCTTCATTTACATTCTAATTTAATTTATGTCAACTTACCCCTTCTTAGGGTGCTTTACCACACTAACATAGCATAGGTCACCTTAACTTGCCGCATAGTGGGGTGCTCAAATTGATACTTAAACGTAAGTTAGATCATGTTGATTCTTGAGTAATTTTTACATCTTAACCTAAGATGTGGTCATGGGATCCTGTAATCAGGTCATGTGGTCGTGTAAACATGTTTGTCCTACTAAAGGACTGGGTACTTGATTAGAAACAAATTACACGCACAGAGCTTGTTCACACTCCAATGTATTTTTGTGTGCTTCATTTACATTCTAATTTAATTTATGTCAACTTACCTCTTCTTAGGGTGCTTTACCACACTAACATAGCATAGGTCACCTTAACTTGCCGCATAGTGGGGTGCTCAAATTGATACTTAAACGTAAGTTAGATCATGTTGATTCTTGTGTAATTTTTACATCTTAACCTAAGATGTGGTCATGGGATCCTGTAAGCAGGTCATGTGGTCGTGTAAACATGTTTGTCCTACTAAAGGACTGGGTACTTGATTAGAAACAAATTACACGCACTGCGCTTGTTCACACTCCAATGTATTTTTATGTGCTTCATTTACATTCTAATTTAATTTATGTCAACTTACCCCTTCTTAGGGTGCTTTACCACACTAACATAGCATAGGTCACCTTAACTTGCCGCATAGTGGGGTGCTCAAATTGATACTTAAACGTAAGTTAGATCATGTTGATTCTTGAGTAATTTTTACATCTTAACCTAAGATGTGGTCATGGGATCCTGTAATCAGGTCATGTGGTCGTGTAAACATGTTTGTCCTACTAAAGGACTGGGTACTTGATTAGAAACAAATTACACGCACAGAGCTTGTTCACACTCCAATGTATTTTTGTGTGCTTCATTTACATTCTAATTTAATTTATGTCAACTTACCCTTCTTAGGGTGCTTTACCACACTAACATAGCATAGGTCACCTTAACTTGCCGCATAGTGGGGTGCTCAAATTGATACTTAAACGTAAGTTAGATCATGTTGATTCTTGTGTAATTTTTACATCTTAACCTAAGATGTGGTCATGGGATCCTGTAAGCAGGTCATGTGGTCGTGTAAACATGTTTGTCCTACTAAAGGACTGGGTACTAGATTAGAAACAAATTATACGCACAGAGCTTGTTCACACTCCAATGTATTTTTGTGTGCTTCATTTACATTCTAATTAAATTTATGTCAACTTACCCCATCTTAGGGTGCTTTACCACACTAACATAGCGTAGGTCACCTTAACTTGCCGCATAGTGGGGTGCTCAAATTGATACTTAAACGTAAGTTAGATCATGTTGATTCTTGAGTAATTTTTACATCTTAACCTAAGATGTGGTCATGGGATCCTGTTATTAAGTCATGTGGTCGTGTAAACATGTTTGTCCTACTAAAGGACTGGGTACTTGATTAGAAACAAATTACACGCACTGCGCTTGTTCACACTCCAATGTATTTTTGTGTGCTTCATTTACATTCTAATTTAATTTATGTCAACTTACCCCATCTTAGGGTGCTTTACCACACTAACATAGCATAGGTCACCTTAACTTGCCGCATAGTGGGGTGCTCAAATTGATACTTAAACGTAAGTTAGATCATGTTGATTCTTGTGTAATTTTTACATCTTAACCTAAGATGTGGTCATGGGATCCTGTAATCAGGTCATGTGGTCGTGTAAACATGTTTGTCCTACTAAAGGACTGGGTACTTGATTAGAAACAAATTACACGCACTGCGCTTGTTCACACTCCAATGTATTTTTGTGTGCTTCATTTACATTCTAATTTAATTTATGTCAACTTACCCCTTCTTAGGGTGCTTTACCACACTAAATAGCATAGGTCACCTTAACTTGCCGCATAGTGGGGTGCTCAAATTGATACTTAAACGTAAGTTAGATCATGTTGATTCTTGTGTAATTTTTACATCTTAACCTAAGATGTGGTCATGGGATCCTGTAAGCAGGTCATGTGGTCGTGTAAACATGTTTGTCCTACTAAAGGACTGGGTACTAGATTAGAAACAAATTATACGCACAGAGCTTGTTCACACTCCAATGTATTTTTGTGTGCTTCATTTACATTCTAATTAAATTTATGTCAACTTACCCCATCTTAGGGTGCTTTACCACACTAACATAGCGTAGGTCACCTTAACTTGCCGCATAGTGGGGTGCTCAAATTGATACTTAAACGTAAGTTAGATCATGTTGATTCTTGTGTAATTTTTACATCTTAACCTAAGATGTGGTCATGGGATCCTGTAATCAGGTCATGTGGTTGTGTAAACATGTTTGTCCTACTAAAGGACTGGGTACTTGATTAGAAACAAATTACACGCACTGCGCTTGTTTACACTCCAATGTATTTTTGTGTGCTTCATTTACATTCTAATTTAATTTATGTCAACTTACCCCATCTTAGGGTGCTTTACCACACTAACATAGCGTAGGTCACCTTAACTTGCCGCATTGTGGGGTGCTCAAATTGATACTTAAACGTAAGTTAGATCATGTTGATTCTTGTGTAATTTTTACATCTTAGCCTAAGATGTGGTCATGAGATCCTGTAAGCAGGTCATGTGGTCGTGTAAACATGTTTGTCCTACTAAAGGACTGGGTACTAGATTAGAAACAAATCATACGCACAGAGCTTGTTCACACTCCAATGTATTTTTGTGTGCTTCATTTACATTCTAATTTAATTTATGTCAACTTACCCCATCTTAGGGTGCTTTACCACACTAACATAGCGTAGGTCACCTTAACTTGCCGCATTGTGGGGTGCTCAAATTGATACTTAAACGTAAGTTAGATCATGTTGATTCTTGTGTAATTTTTACATCTTTAAGATGTGGTCATGAGATCCTGTAAGCAGGTCATGTGGTCGTGTAAACATGTTTGTCCTACTAAAGGACTGGGTACTAGATTAGAAACAAATCATACGCACAGAGCTTGTTCACACTCCAATGTATTTTTGTGTGCTTCATTTACATTCTAATTTAATTTATGTCAACTTACCCCATCTTAGGGTGCTTTACCACACTAACATAGCGTAGGTCACCTTAACTTGCCGCATTGTGGGGTGCTCAAATTGATACTTAAACGTAAGTTAGATCATGTTGATTCTTGTGTAATTTTTACATCTTAGCCTAAGATGTGGTCATGAGATCCTGTAAGCAGGTCATGTGGTCGTGTAAACATGTTTGTCCTACTAAAGGACTGGGTACTAGATTAGAAACAAATCATACGCACAGAGCTTGTTCACACTCCAATGTATTTTTGAGTGCTTCATTTACATTCTAATTTAATAACTGCGCTCTAACGAACACTCTAACATCACCTTGCCCTATCTTGGGGTGCTTGGTCACACTCAAACGTAAGTTAGATTATGTCGCTTGTTGGTGTATTTCAAAAAAGTAATCTTTAATGTACATGGTTTACTTAATTACAACATTGAGCAGAACATGATGAACGTAACAACAGATAGTTTGTAAATACAAGCCCAATACAAATGCAGTGTTTCCCTATGATGACGATAAAAATTTGGGTTGGGACGAGCTTGTGGCATCCGCAGTCAATCAGAAGCTCTCATTTCTCTTTATGATATTTACAAACAGCAGAGTCTGCCAAAGAGCCGCTTGAATTAACTTCAAATCTTAACTACAATATACTTAATTAAGAAAATCCCTGATGCTCCAAACACTTCACAATTGAAGTGTCAAAATCTACTGGTAGAACAATTGTCGTACGATTACATAGGAGCAAATGTTTCTTCAGCCGCAACGACCCCAGATTGCCATCAAAACAAATCACATTTAAGGCTTTGATTGATGTCTTTTTATGGAGAAGTTTAAATTCTAAATTTGAGGTCGCTTTATCCAGCCAATATCCTGAAATGCTGTCTTCTGGACTTAGAGATTCTATCTCCGTTGCGGTCCCAGGATGATAGAAAAGCCAATATGGGTCTTCTGTCTCGGTGTAAACTGGTAGAATATAACCTTTGTGTCTGAAACTGCTCTGATAGTTCGCGATAAGCGCTGACATAGCATCCTTTTCAAAATGACTGTGTAAATCTGTCATCAGGACTTGGAAATCACTTGCAGATAAATCCGGGTCAGCAACTTCTAAATCGTCCTTCTTAATTGACGTTTCTCCTGACAAAATTCTACCAATTTTGTCACTGTCTACAATTTTTGTTAATGCTTGGGAATGCTTTGAAGTGAGTTGAAGTGTTTCTTCACGGTCACTAGCCTGATTTTCAACGATGAAAAACTTTATGTTTTCTGAATTCTTCATAATGGCTTGAATGGTATTAGCACCATAGGAAGTTGGCTTTTTGAACTCTACACCATCAGGTAACCCTGTTACCTCAAACCCACCCTTATGGTAAGGTACACGAGCACAAAGTTTTCCAGAAGCCTCACCTGTCAAGCAGAAATACATACACATAATAAATTTACAATATATAGGTACTAAATAGATTAGTTTGGCATTCGACGCATGTCATGAGTGATGATTGAATAATTATATTTTGTACAAATATAAATGTAAATTATGCTAAGCTTACGGTATTTTCTGTTGAACATTGCAGCAACATCTGATGCTGAATACTTTTCGTTCGGGAATTCTGCAAAAAAAATAAGAACACAAATAATGATTAAACATCTGTAGTCAGTATTTAAAACATAAATGTACATACACATGTACTGTTCATACAAACCAAAAAATTCCATAAACTTTATTGTTGCCTCATTGTTCTCACTAAGGTACTTCAGACCTTTGCCAGTACCATAGTGGCTAATTTCTTTTGACTCATGCTCAAAAATCATGACCGATGCATCACAACCAAGGCTTTCCAAATATGACAACTAAAAAGATATAAAACACTAATTTGTTTTATATTATTAACTAGAATGACTTGTATGAAATATAAATGTATACCTGTGCTATTAGTTGTTTCTTTGCTTTCAATACTTGAGCTTTTTTTGTTTTGGTGTTAGCTCTGTTGTGCAATTATTAGCAAGTTCTCTAGCATTTTCTTTCCATTCTTCACATTTTTCCAATGAAAGTGATTTCCACTTATCAACTGCAAACTTCATTTTAGCTGACTTGCTTGATAACATTTGGCATTCGTCTAAATATTAGATTTCATTTATGTAAGTCATTTTACATACAAAATTACAGATTAAATATTGTTATACTATTTAATACTTTTTTGGTTTCAGCCCTATTTTAAAAATATTGATTTGAAATGACTAAAACCTAATTGGCATATCATTTGCAGATTTACAGAAGTTCTAATCAGAAGCAATCCACCTGGTTGCTTCTGTTGTGTTTGTCAAATTGTTCATGGAACTTATAACATGTTTTTGCACTGATGAATGCCCAGGTTATACTGCACATAACAAATACATGTGGTATTTACAAAGAAAAGGTACCAACTTAAAGACCCTTAATGGTAAATTATTCATTATTTTTTTGCATTGACAGAGTTTAAAGTTTAGCATTGCTCAAGTATAACATTTTTTAAATTAGTCACATGTTAGAAGAATACTAAAACCTGAATTCATCATTTGGGAACAGAAAAGATTATATCCAGTGATTGCACGTTTAGATGGCGGCTTGTTGGACTGTCTCTCTTCCAAATCATTTACAAAAGTAGAGCTTGCTTTTCGCTTTCTCCTTTCATTTCCTATCCATTTCTAAAAACAATAATTTATTTTACACATTATGGGTAGTCATGGCATGCTGACCCATGCATTTGCAGAAGCATTAACCATTATATACTATAATTAGATATTCAAAATACATGCTTAGAGAACACATTAATTTAATGTCTTTTAATTACAGTTGGGGTAGTTGTTTTTGGTCAACTAGTATTAAACAAATATATATTCTGCCAATTGTGCAATAGAATCTTTTTATTTCAAATAGTTTTCTATTGCATGGTTGCTTTCACTATTCGCTTTTTTAAATGGAACATTCCATCTTTCAAGTAATTATGTAATATAATTTAATTACATCCTTACCATTGCACGAATGAAAACAATCTGACATTATTAGTTCATTATAAAATGTATAATATAGGATACTCAAATGCTATAAATACGATAAACAGGCATAACTTTACAACACCGTACTAAATATAAATTGAATTTACACGAAACCAAGTAATTAAAGCATTATTATATACACCTAGAAACATTAATTTTGTTGTGAAACGATCACAAACGTTTAATAACATAACGTTTGCCATTTGAAGGGTTTATTTATATTAGAACAAATTCACTAACCTTGACTTTATCAACACTAAGATTCGCTTCTTGCGCAGCTTGGTCAATGAAAGCATGCATGCATGGAGACGTTGTGGTCATGCCTTTATCATAATATTCACAAAGAATTCGTTTTTTTTCATCGGTCAAGACAGCATAACAACCCCTTTCTGTCGCCATTTTGTTTATATTCAACACGTTGTAATAGTTATCCCAGCTTGCTTTGCGCGTGCGGATTAGATTATTTAGATTATAATCTGGCGACGCTTAATTGCGACGTTCTAAAATTTAGAACCCATGCTTCAAGCGTTTTAGAACATGTGAAACCGGTGTTAAAGTCGTCCATTTCCATTGGTGATGCTATTGCCTGCCCCGAAGACCAAACTACTGAGTAAGTAACCACTACATTGTTTGCACGAGTACCTCTGGTGTTTTGTAGCCGAGTTTTTCTTTCTCCCAAAGGATCTCTTCTTCCTCTTGCGATCGCCGTCGTGCTTAATTTGGTCTTTTCCCTCGACCACTTTCTCGAAGCAATTTAGCTTTTCACTCTAAAACTTTCTTGGATGTCGTGAAACTCTATCTCGTATTATGGAAAAAGTATATCCTCTTTCTCTGAGATGTCTGTCAAGGGAAGTTATCATTACTTTGAGGCTGTCTGGTTGGTAATCTTCACCCTGTTGATTTTTAACTTCAGCAAATTATTTAAATCGACCGGCTCATATTTTTTTATTTCGTTGGATATTTTTTTTCAAAACGCGATTAGTTCCACACTCGTAGGCAAGGTCAGCCTCGTACCCAGGCGCTTTAATAGTAAAAAATAATGTTGCATTCAGTTATTGTATAGAGGTCGGCCAAAATAAACGCGAGCGCGCGGGGAAATGAATTCAACATGGAAACAATCGCATGAATTATACAATATAATACAATACAATATAATTATATACTATAATTACTTGAATTAGATCCAGGTTTTTACAGATACACCGGTTTTTAAAAATGTTATAGGTTGATTAATATTGAACATTTCATGTAACAAATCATACTTACTTTTAAAAATCAAGTTGTTGCCATATCGCGTTAAATTCATCATCGGATTATTAAACCTGTAAACAAAGGAATATGAGTTTATCTTTTATTTCATGAACAGAAACCTCTGAATATTTTGTAAATGCGCTCGCTTTTTCTCAATAGTAATATGTAAATACGGCATGCGATTTTAATAATATTCGAGTACTACCAATATAGTCACTCCGACGGAAAATATTTAAATAAAAGTACCTTCAGATGATTCTTCGCCAAAGGAAACGTTCATAATACTTGGCTAGCCCGTCGACAGTCGATCCAGTAAAAAAATTATAACAATGAAAATAAAAACTGCAAAATACAAGCGTTTTCCAGAAATCGGTCACGATTTGCCAGAAATCGGTCATTTTCACCCAGGCGTTTCCTCGCTAAAACAAACCTCCCCAAGAACCCTTGCGCGCTTCCTTTTTTCAGCTGAACTCTATGCAATACCTGGATGCAACGTTATATATTTTACTATTAAAGCACCTGGGTACGAGGCTGAGGCAAGGTACTTTTGGCAGTGTTTGCATTTTTAGAACTGTCCTGCAAATCCTGAATTGTAGACTCGGTCGCCAAAGAAAATGCATTTAAGACGCCAGCCATTGTTATTGCTTTTTGTGAGATTGATAATTCAATTTTACTTGTGAAATATTTTGTTTAATTGGCTCTTATGCATGACTGCTTCATTGCTTGACTAACCAATCAGGAGCCCTATCAAAAACGTGTTAAAGAAATCAGCACTGGAATTTCCTATTTTTGGAACTGGGATTTCCTATTTTTGCGTGGCACTGGAATATCCCAAATATTACACTGCTCTAAAACAATCAGAATTGAGAGACTTTTTATGTATATTTTTTATGTATACCGATAGTTAACAAATCAACTTACGTGACCAGTTGACTTTGTAACCATGCAATCGTATTATTTTGGTTGCGTTAAGCAACTTGGCTAAATCATTGTGTGTATAGCATCATGAGAAATTGCCGTACCGTTAGACCAGTCTATGTTTGGTAAATTAAAGTCACCACATAGCAGAATCTGATCAAAGTGGGCATCCGATGCACAACGTAGAGTTTTCTTCAGTTCCTTCAAGTAATCTCTGTTAGTATCTGGTGGTCTATAAAATACTATTGCCAGGAATTTTCTTCGAGAGTCAGGTCTCAATTCGCAAGCTAGAATTTCAGCATTGCCCTCGAGGTCCTTTCGTCGGAGACTTTTTATCACGTTTCTTACTGCAAATAATACTCCCCCTCCAGTTATGTTTAATCTATCTCTCCTGTAGATCGTAAAGTCAAGACCCGGCACTGAGTAGTTCGCAGTTTAATATATGCGATTTTAACCATGTTTCAACAGCAAATATGCAGTCCACATCAACAGCTAATGTTTGAAATTCGTTGACATCATTGACTAGGCTTCTGGCATTCATGTACAAACACCGAATATCCGTACAGTATTCTCGTTGAGCCGGACCAGGTAGCGGATGTATATCGCCACTTTGGGTTATCGTTATGATAGAAGGATTATAGGACGCTGTACAATTGGCATAATAGTTTAGTCGTCTCCTCAAAAAGCCGAGTCGCTTGAAATTCAATCGTGTTTGGACTGTTGAATGAATTCGTTGAATAAAGGCTATAGAGCCACGTTTCACGTCGCTATTTACTTCGTTGACCAAGTTAGCATCAAGTAGCTTTACATTTGTAATGTATTTAGGATCAATATTACGTATTTTCAAGTAGAAAAGCAATAGAGACAGAAGCACCCCGAAGACACGTCCGTCCGCCATGCTTGACAGGGTTATTGATTGATGAGGTTACTGACCGAAACATCAGACCACCTCAGTTATCGAGTGTTAATACAGCTTATGAAAAGTTTTTTCTCCCTTTTTTAGGTGAAATGGTAAAATTTATAATGCAAGCTTGCGAAGACGAGAAAATAGAATGTGAATACGCTGCTGGGGGTATTGTAGGTAAAAAGATTATTATTATTTTTATATAACACCCCTGATCCCATACATGATAAGTTTAAATTTTAGTTTCTTTTCACTACACAAAAAAAACAAACGAAGGGTGTCATATCAAAAATTCTTTCAGGAAATTGTAAGATGCAGTTTTGAGAAAATTTGCATTAGATCAGAAAGGGAAAATGTCGGACTCACCCCAGAAAGATAGGAGTGCAATTAAAGATCATTTTATGTGGATTTTCCTACAAGAGGTAAAAATATATTGGATCTCATAGTTACATCCGTTCCAGAAAAGGTGTCAAATGTTGTCGGTTTCAACGATATTTTGTCCACTGATCATAAATTGATAAGTTTTAAATTAAACCTAAGGATATCACGCAAACCTAAGATTAAGCGTGCTGTTTATAATTTCAAAAAGGCTGACTGGGTCGGTCTTAGTGAAACACTCCGGCACACCCCATGGGACATGTGTTTTGTTCCTAATGATGTTGATTCATCCCTCTCGAATTGGTGTGACTTCTTTACATCCGCCGTTAATGCACATATCCCGAAATGCTTGATTAAAAATGTGCATAATCACCCATGGATCGATGATGAGCCTTTGTCTATGTTAAGACAAAAGAATATTATGAGAAGGAAAGCAAACAAAACGGGGTCAATTAATGACAATGTCAAATTCCAAAGCTTGAGGAAATCAGTAAAACAGCTGATTACACAGAAGAAAAGGGAGCATGGTTGTAAACTTAAAGAATCCATTACAAATAATCCGAAGCGCTTTTGGTCATTTGTAAAGTCATCTACACGAGACAAGGCATCGCCTCATCTCCTCCGGGATGGCCAAGTTTTTGTGAATGATCGGGTTGCTAAAACCAACAAATTAAATAGTTTCTTCCACTCTGTATTTTCTCCCAAGGAAACTTTTACCCAACATTCAAATCCAGAATCTATTTGTTCGTCTACTGCTCAATTGCCTGAAATTTGGGTGACTGAATCTGAAGTCGCGAAAGTCTTAAAGGGCATAGATCCTAATAAAGCGTGTGGTTCGGACAACATTCCTGGGATGTTGTTATTTAAGACAGCCGATGCAATAGCTCCATTACTATGTCGGCTTTTCAATCAGTCCCTGTCGGAGGGCTGTGTTCCTTTAATTTGGAAGTGCGCAAACATCGTACCTGTGCATAAGAATGACGACCCAACTTTAGCAACGAATTATAGGCCAATATCATTATTATGTATTATCTCCAAGGTCTTGGAACGTTGCATTTTCAATCATTGCTTTCAGTTTTTAAAATCAGACATAAATAACATTCAACATGGATTTATGCAAGGTCGATCAACTGTGACCCAGTTATTGACAGTCTATCACGATATACTGGATACCTTAGCGAGTGGTCGGGAAGTGGATGTTGTACATCTGGATTTTTCTAAGGCCTTCGATAAAGTGTCGCATAATCTATTGTTGAACAAACTTGATGGTTATGGGATACGAGGTTCTCTTTTGCAATGGTTCAACAGCTATCTTTCTCATAGACATCATCGTGTAGTGTTGGAGGGGGAATTCTCAGATTGGCTGCCTGTAACATCTGGAGTGCCCCAGGGATCAATCCTGGGTCCTCTACTATTCATCATATATGCCAACGACATGCCTGACTGCCTTGACGAATCTAAGTTAGCCTTGTTTGCTGACGATTTTAAACTTTTCAGAACTATGTCATCTGGAAATTCTTCTGCTGCTCTACAATCTGATCTTAATAGTTTGCACCAATGGAGTAAGGATTGGAAAATGACTTTCAACATCCCAAAATGTCTGGTACTACATATGTCCAGAAAACGAACACCAAGTTACATCAACACGGAATATTACCTCGGGGGGCAACGTCTACAAGTGGCAACTGCTACTAAAGACCTCGGAGTCATTATATCTAACAATCTGTCGTGGTCTATCCATATCAGTCGGATGTGTGCAAAAGCCAACAGAACCCTAGGTCTCATTAAACGCGTTTGCGGCAAGGATATAATAGATCAAGAGACCCGGAAGTTACTGTATATCACTCTTGTAAGGTCACAACTGGAATATGCTTCAAGTCTTTGGTCGCCATACACAGCTAAAGAACGCGCACTAATTGAAAATATTCAAAGGAGAGCAACTAAATTTATTTTAAATCACTATGGCCGAGACATGGCATACAAGGATAGATTGGCAAAACTGCACCTGTTGCCACTTGAATATAGGAGGGAAATTGCTGATCTCACTTTGGTATATAAATACAAATGTGGGATACTCAATGTGGATTTTAGTAACTTGTACATGCCTGTTTCCTCCCATTATAATACTCGTCGAACAGATAGTAATAATTTCCGTAACAACTTTAATCACAATCAATGCTACTACCAAATCTCGTTTTTTCCAGATCAATCAAATTATGGAACAATGTCCCACATGAGTTAACAACTTGTAATCAGAGTGTTACTTTTTTTAGGAGGCAACTTTTTTCTATGTACAATGAAAAACTTTTAACATACTCTCCACCATAATAGTTTTTTAAATAAATTTTATATTTTTGAATTGTATTATACTACACATTAAATAGACATAAGATAGTTTTATCTGCATGCAAGGAGATGATATCAATTGGGATTTTATCCTGTTTCTTCCCCTGTTGCTTATACATTATCATATTGTAATGTAATTTAGTGACAAATCCTATTAAACTAAACTAAACTAAATAAAGTTGGCATGACATAATATAACCACATTACACTACGTTTTTTCTCCCTCTACATAAGTCCATGCGAAGAGAAGAAAGGATTTTATACCTGATCCTTTAATAACAACTTATAGGGATGACAGAAAGACTTGAAGAAAATATAATATAAGATACCTAAATTCCAGAGGTCAAATGGTGGTACTCCAGTACCATTCTTCCACGAACACCCAATTTTGTTGGAATAGCTCAGACCACGTCTACAACCATACAATTTCACAGTGCCATCGCTGGTAATACTCTTCTGATGCTATTCTTGTTAGCCAAGCCTACCAATGCTTCGTTGAGTATGAGTTGTGTGTCCATATTGAACATTACATCTGCACCTACGACAGCGAGGTTCGTTCATTTGTAAATATCCAAAAGACGTCATGAAATACTCCTTCTGAAAGACTGTATTTAAAATAAAGAACATTGTCGTTGGTCAAGAAACAAAAGCAACTGAAGTCATTGAAATACAGCAGAGGCTCCAAAAGGCATGTTTAAAAGAGTAAAGTGTCCCTTTCAAAATTTTTCGTTTCGAAAGATATTGAAAAAGACATTCAAAAAACGAGAGCAGGCTTTGCCTCATCCTCTTCATCCCATGTTTTTTATAAAGACGACAACTTTTAAAATTGGATCTAAGCTCAGGACCGCATCAAGAATCCTAATTGTGGGATAAATATTTATGATATACGTCTTCCTAAAGGATTAATTTTTAAAGCAGTTATCGCTACAGTATGACCTAAACATAAGTATTTGAATATAAAACCCCCAAAATTACGTGGTGTAGCTATTGCTCTGTTTGATTTAGCTTGGACTGTCATTGTATGATGGTAAGGAAATTTTCAGGACAACACGTTTTCATTTCAAGTTTTGCGCTGAGAGCACTCGGGCAAAAAACATGAGTCGCAGTGTACTAATACCTTGTATCAAACTTGAGTGATCGCAGCCATTCTGTTTTGGCTGCAAATGGTCCTCGGAGGTAATCGCATACCACACATTCATTAAAGGACCTATGATATCCTGCAGTGTACTTAGCCGTCCAGTAGTCGAAGGATAACTGTCGAAATCCAAGTTCCCAATGTCCAGCTAAATTCCGATAACTTCCCCGTTGCCACTGATATGTCATCACGATAGCTTAAAACTCGCAGCAATCGATGCAAATCAATATCATCATCAAAGTGGGTTAGATAAGGTGCTATTAATAAAGTGATATTAATACGGGTTTTACCCCGAGAAAACAAGAGGTCCAATTGGCTTATTCTATTGTTTCATTGTTCTATTGTATTGTTCTCTATAATTTATGAATATATGCAAAATTTTTTCGTCGCTTTACCTAGCAAACTAAAACTCTCATTCCCCTTGTTTTGGGAAAAGATAACTGAAAAAGTAATAAAGCTAACTTGATAAAATTTTCATAGTAGTCTCTAAAGACAATTGGATCGGACGTGAACCTAAAAGTGTTGTATTTCGTTCAGTCTAAGTAAAAAACGACTGTTTATTTCAGATAGATCGTAGATATATTTATAGTTTGTAAAACGCTTTATTAGAGGTTCAGTACGTCAGGCTCCGGAGGCTCCGAGGCAAAAATATTTAGAACTAAATAAAACCAATTCCGCCGTTCTAGCGTTAAAACCCAGTTTGTTATCTTTTTTACAAAATTTGTCAATTTTCAACCAGACTCTAACCTTTTTATGCAATGTTTATTTCTCTCATGCATTATTTTTATGAGCTCGGTATGTCGTTTTGCGAGGACGTAACCGCATATTTAAGGCTTTACATCATCGTTTTAACTTCAAAAAGAGTTCATGATAGTGTAATTCGGAAATTTCATACAATAAATATGGGTAGTGTCGCAGCTCCTCGCAAGAATGATTTTTACAATACATTTCTGTTTCAACCAATAGCATAGCTTCGTTCTTTAGAAAGCATAGAAAAGCATCATCCAATTTGACGAAAGTTTTCGATCACTGTGACATGATTCACAAATATCGCTTTGAAGCTTTAAATAGAGTCGACTGCAATCACATGGTTTCAATAATCGAAAAACACTATTCAACGTTTAGTGTTTCGGGATTCTTTTATTTTTGCTGTTTTGAAGGTTTAGCTATAGTGAAGTTTTAACTAAGTCTATATGACTATAACTGCATGCAACGTTATGCAGCAGGTAAACGATTTCACTTCACCCTTACGACTGTGTTTGTTTGCGAAAAATGTGAAGCATCAGCTATTATAGTAAGGAGATGGATCTGGCCAGCTCAGGAAAAAGGTTTGCTTCGTTTGAAATGGCAAGAGGTTTCTGGATACAAGTATTTCTAGTAAAACAACTATACCACGAGCTCGAGTCGTATATGAGCTGATAGCCGGTCATATTTGTTTTTAAATATGATTACAAAAGATCGTCCACCACATCTAATAATTCAACTGTGATTTATTTATTCCTAATTTTGATTAAACATTAACATCTATGTATACACGGAAGTGAATAAAAAATACATACTGTATAAAAGTAGTAATATTACGTGAAATCAATAATCTAAGTATGTACTTTATGTGAGTGCATATAGATAATTAAATTTAGGGACAAATGTTTATGATGTGCATAAAATCGCAATACATTTTCATAGGCCTTATTTCAAAAAGTATGTTTACTCGTTGCCTGCATAATAATGTTCCATGGCCGGATATGTCGTGTAGACGGGAGAAGTGACAGTATCTGGCATTGATTGCAATTCTGTCTCAAATTGCGAATGACGTTTCTCATCATACATTTCTGAACACATGCTAATAAAAAAATATTAAATAGGAGTTAATTTTCGCTGGCTATATGCATTCATAAGTATTATTCAAGGAGGTATACAAAATTAATCTTCATTGCTCAATTGTTTTACGTGCAAGATTATGCAGATTTATAACATAGCTATAGAAAGGCTGAACTAACTAGCTATGGAACACAGAAACGCCAAGCGAAATGTATTATCATGAATCTAACAACATTCGACAAGATTTGCTTACGATTTTTTATTTCAAATATGAAATGAAAGAAAAACTAAGCAATTCATTTATGATTTCTTGAACTGGAGGTAGACGTGATAGGCATTGACAGTGGACAGCAAAAATTGAGTACTGGATTTTATAAACCTCTAGCTGATCTGAGTAATAAATTCCACAAATAAAAAAGAAGCTAGATTCTCGACAAAATTGAATTTAAATTTTTCAATTCATATGACTTCGGCACCAGAAAATTTTAAGGAATTCTATTGTTTTTATGCGTTTTTCTCCAACTGTAAATTAGAATGAAATGCTTTCGCTCCTTGTGCTATTACTTAAAAGAACAGCGACAATTATCTCTAGGCGCATGATTACTCAGTTTTGTCGAGGTGCCTCATGACGTCATGATATCAGATCAGCTGCCCTTGTATTCGTAGCTAAATTACCAAACTTAGCCACAATTGGTTGACGACAGTTTGAAATTGAGATGGCGTGAAGTAGAATAAAAAAACCTGTGCTTGATGAACAATTATCGAGGATCAATAGAACAACACCAGTTTATTAATTATAATCATCAATCTATAATACTCTCGTGCACAGTGTTATGGTATTTATTTCGAGGGTTGAAAATAATATCGAACGAGTTGGGGGCCGCGAACGAGTGAGCTATAATTTTTACGACGAGAAATAAATTCCAATGTGCGTACACCTGATTTATATAGGTGGATAATAAAAACCGTCCTTGATGAACAATTAACGAGCATCAATAGAATTTTTTTTCAACGACGAAAAGTAAAAATCTCATGTGGCTTACCTAAATCCAGCGATAAGAACCAGAATAATGGCGATCGTAAAACACAATGTACTCCATAAAATGACCGCAATCGTCAAATTCCTGACGATATTTACATCATCTTTATCAACCGCACTGGCCACTAAAAGGAGTTACAAATTAAAATCTAATCAAATCAATTGGCGACATACGTAAATTATGAGAGGCGTATTTTTTACAAGCTACTTTTAGAATAGGTTTATCATACGTTATTTGATATTAATGATAGTTATATCAAAAATGAATTAACAGCTTCTGATTAGCTAACAGCCACGTTTGAAATCGTCATGTTTAATTTGTACGTGGCCTCGCGAGATCAACGATATGTTGATGAAAAGCGAATTTCGCCTTTGATACTTTTGATATTACGTCATTGTCCCAAGGAGCCAGAATGTGAAAATTAAGGACACTTAACACAAAAACGAGCAAACGAATTTGCAATTTTCATTTAAACACAGAAGCAAATGAAAGAATTGTATTAACTTATACATTTATCTATTAATTTGTATACGTTTTGTTCATTTTTGAATATTTCAAGGACATTTTATCTGGATATTTCAAGATGAAATTTGTCCTGGATATTTCAAGGACATTTTGCCTTGGATATGTATATTAAGATTAAAGCTTAAATGTAGGATTTTAGTGATAAATTCTCGCCTTCTGGCAAATCTGCATTACATGCATTAAAAATGCATAATTTTGAAATAAAAATGTATATTATGACAAACCAAATAGTAATGCAAATCACATACCTTCGCATGTAGCACCATTTCCTGTATAACCGTCGTTACAGGTACAATTGAACGACCCAGTGGTATTACTGCACGTTGCATTACTGTGGCAATTATGAGTCCCAAGTGCGCATTCGTCAACATCTTCAAAAATAATATAATTGAAGATTAAACGACCGACACTGTTTAATAACTCGATGTAGCTACATATTATGTTCATATAGCAGTGTCAAATTCCACTGTCATAATTATGAGTGTTGCTTTTACCATCTTATCAGTGACAATTAATTATGAGTTCAAAGTTTGCATTCGTCAACATCTTCCAAGGTAACAAAGATTGAATATTTAACGTGGGAGTTGGTTTCGTTTAATGCACGTTCATATAACAACGTCCAAATAGACTGTTTAAATTTTAATTCCTCCTTTTATGAAATAAAGATGTATTTTATGACAAACAACGCGTTGCTAGATTGTCACAGTTGTCAGTGCCAAGTGCACATTCAACAACGTCTTTAAAGGTAATAAATCATGAATATTTGGCGAAGAAGACGGGCAGTTTCGATGAATGCGCACATTCGGTGCAGAATACTATTTTAGAGCTGCGATTATCAATTGGATAGCAAATGAGAAATAATGGAGAAATAAGGACTGAAGAAATATTCCAGAGTATATTATAGCATAAAATCATCTGAAGCACTTCTTTCGTAATATCGCATGAAGCAGCGCACGCATACATGCATGTTTAAAAACGTGGAACACTCATGTATAAACCATATACACACGTAAAAACGCACGAGTTGTAACAAGCCTGCAGCAAGCTTGTCGCAAGCTCGTTTCAACAAGCTTGTTGCAAGATTTATTCGCACCGCTTGTCCCAAGTTGTTGTGACGGACGTGTAGCAAGTTGTTGTCAGACTTGTAGCAAGTTTGTTGTGACAATGCTGTACCAAGGTTGTTGCCAACAAGCTTGCTACAAGTCTGACAACAACTTGCTACAAGCTTGTTGAACTTGAGCTGTTCCAAGCTTGTTATAACAAGGCCGTTACAAGCTTGTCGCGACAAGCTTGCTGCAAACATGGCCGCGCATTAAATCTCGCTTGAAAACACGCGTGTTTTCCCGGAGATTGTGAAACAAAAAACAAACAACACAAAGTTTGATGTAAAAATCATATTATTTTAAAAACAAATTCAAAGGTTAGCAATTAAATACAAACTTCACATTTGAAGTACCAAGATTACTAAAGGCTCAGTACAAGAACATATGTATTTTCCTTTCTGAGTATATAGCCTAATAATCAGTTCGTAAGAAAAGTTTCTTTGCATTCATATGGTAAAAATTAACTGGTGCATGAATATTCTTGTATAATACCAGTATTTCAGTCACTTGTTGAATTGACTTCGTCGTCCCATGCAAGAATCAACAGCTAGCTGCACCTCATTCCTATAATTCACTTTGTTTGATACGACTTTCCGGCCAATACCTCAGTTTAGCTCCAGTTTGATAATCAAATTCCTATAAAGTATAATATACAATGGCTTCAGGAATCAGTTACTTTAAAAAATATGCAAATATTTTTGAGGAAACTGGTTTGCAAATACGTTGAGGAAACTCCATCCTGTCTGCTGTGGCGAGGGTCTTGCTTGCCATCCAAGTCTAATGTCAAATAAGTAATGTACAAATACTTTATTACCATAATACGTAAATATATATTATTATTTCTAATCAGAGCATGCTAAAAACATACGCACAGATATTAAAAATAGGAAATTTTGCACTTTACCGCACACCTACTCGTCATTAAAAATATTTGAATTATTGAATACAAAAAACCGGCAAAGTTTCGATTTTGATAAATATCCACAGAAACTAACAGTTCAATGTTTATAAAAAGCAATAAATTCAACAAATATTTTAAAAACTATATAGTTTTAAAAGGCTAGCTTGTGTACTATAATAAATTGTGTTGCCGGCGTTGTGTACGCCATATCAATATTTGGATGAATTAAACGCACATACCTTTATTAAAACGTCGAACTGTAGTATTCTTCAAACTTTTTTAAGTTGCCCATCCGTTTTAACTGATATTTCAACGTTTATTAAACTTTTAAAGGCTTAAAAATCAAAGGTTTTGGCACAAAGATAGCTCAATGACCAGGTGAATCAGTGACTCTTGAAAGAGCAGGGAAATTTGCAAATATACTGACGTATATTTCAACCAATAAGATCACTTATACATAGTTTAAACAGAGTCTGAACCAATGAGATTACTCCGTTGAAATCGTCACTTCCTCAACGGTTCAACGGTTATAGATATCCTTGAAACAAGGAAATGTTCATCTGTAATGTTTTTAAGGAATTCGGATTCTTTTCAAATCTTATTACTAAAAGAAGTTATGTATATATATCAAATTTATTGAACAATGTTCAAACGGAGAAAATGCAAACGGGACACGAGATCCCATGCGAGGCATTCTTCCGAACTTCGTTGCAGAGTGTTAAAGTGTTTAAAAGCTCGTTGATCTTGCTTTTTCCATTTGATGAATGGCAATGATGAATAAAATCATATTTGGCCCAGTTCAAATTGATTTTGTTGTTATCGGAAAACTTTTTCCGTTAACAATGTCGCTACAATTTGTTGGAACTGTCTTGTTACAGCATTGTCACGCGCAGCCTTCGTACAAGCTTGTTGTGACAGGCTTGTTACAAGTTGATGACTATAACAACTTGTCAACAAGTTGCTCCAACAAGCTTGGTACAGCTTGTTGTCGACAAGCTTGCTACAACCTGTTGTCTCAACAAGCTTGTTACAACTTGTCAACAAGCTTGCTACAAGCTTGTTGAGCTAACAAGTTGTCAACAAGATGTGAGATTTTTAGGTGTGTACCACGCAGGTTGGTAAGTCTCGATTTCACTGCATGCGCGCAAAAACATTATTAGGAAAGAATACGTTAAAAGCACTTAAATTCCTTTGGAAAACAACTTAGTATGGACACGATTCGCCCAGGATAATTCAAGAACACTTTTTTGATGGTTCATTGCCATTTTATGTCTTTTAACCGAAGGACAATAATGCATTTCCTTTAAATTGGGGATTTTAGCAATAGATTTTAAATTGGTTGCAAATCTGCATCATAAACAATAAAAACGCACAATTTTGAGACAAATAGATAACCGTAGGTATGCATGAACGTGTTTATGCTTACCAAGACAGCTTCCGTTACTTTTTTCATATCCAGAAGGACAGACACATTCATAACTTGTGTCTGTGTTCATACATAACGAGTTGTTACCACAATCAGGAGCATGGATATTATTTTGTGGATTGCATTCGTCATAATCTGGGAAGATAAAGACCGTAAAAAGACTGTACGTACAGTATAATTATCTTCTTTAAGGTATCCAGCAACCCCCCGATATTTCAAACCAAGTACACAATCTCCTAAGCTTACCTGACCTATGTTATGAAACCCATATTATGAAATACTCAAATTATGAAATTATGATTATTATGAAATAATCAATCAATATTATATTTTTTCAAGTATAAAATATTATAGCTAACGCTGCCATCATTCGGTACAAAAAGAATCATACTGTAATTCATAAAGTGTAAACATGTTGATGCACTCTTTTAAAACACTTATAAGTTTACACATTATGAATTATTTCTCTTACACCGCTTTTGGTTGAACTGTATCAATGACTATGTTCTTCTTAGTTACCTGTCATTCTTTATCTTTTTTTTTTCTCGTTTTATTTTCAAACAAGTTTATGAAACGCTTTTACAAAAGAGTATACGAAATGAAAGTTAAATTGCTCACGACTGACATTTTAAATTCTGAAATTCTATTATAAAATTTCACTGTTGGAAATATATGTTAATTGCTTCAGGCGAGCAGATTTTGCATGCATGTATTTCTTGTTGCGAAAATATTCAATAAGTCGAAAATATATTTGGGAGTTACATACCTTTCACACTGAAAAGGCCTTTTACTACAGTGCGATCTGCGCTCTCGCTGATTTGGAGATCTGCTCCAAGAAATGTGCCGTTTTGTGTGAAATTCATTGAATCGACTAATTGTTGTTTAATATTGGTACTGTTTATTCCAGCGGAATCATTGAATGTTGCAACGTAATCAAGACCAGCAGATCCTGGGCTGCAATCGTGAAAAGAGAAAATTAGACTTATCTAAACATATTATAATGCAAGATTCGTGACTTAACGTTTACCAGAAACTTTTGTTGTTTAGCATCCAGTGGCATTTTGCTATATAGGTTCATCGTGAATAATAAATTTTTCCTATCAGTTCTATAATATTATGAGGATTAGATTTTGACACAGTAATTTTGCCCGGAACTGAAATGTATAATTGTGACACGGCGAAAGTAGAAATTACGATAGCAGGATACATATATTTCTGTAAAATTTTAATGATCTAGGCGGATTCTACGGAAAATATCTGTAAATCATATAATAATTATAAGGTTCGATACGGATTGCGAGTCGATCGCTGAGGAAGCTACAATGCCGACTGAAGGGGGGGGGGGGGGGAAGGAAAGCAAGTATGCAACGCTCAAGTGGTCAGTTTTTCCAATTAAAAAATGTGGTAAATTGGACAAAATTCTTCACTAAAATGCAACAAAAAGAGTAATCCTAAAAATATTACGGCTATATTAAAAAAACAGTACACAATGGAGCAACCTTTCAGTGAATCAAAATCCCCCAAGATAAATGCGAGGAATACATGCAGCCCTTATACCAAACGAACTTTTATCTTGGGACTTCCATCGATAGGCTCTATATACCTTATAGAGCAGCAATTGCAATTTAAATATCTGTGAGTGAATAGGCTCTCGCCCAGCGTTTTGCGGCGACTGGAGAGTTTTTCATTTGTTCGATACACTGAATAGCGATTCCAAACATTGCGTCTTTACCAAGGAAATAAGAAAAAACTGCCTCGTCTGTATATATTCTATGCTGGGACCATATATTATTTTTAAGTTTAACGCAGCTATGAAAAGCTAGAATACCTTGGATGAAGCCCCATTTACGCTACACTCAGTTTATCGGAAAGCCAAGGCTAAAAGGGCATACCATTGCCCATTTCATTCCTTCCCCTCCTTTGTATTGTCTGAGCACTAATGAAATGGGGTACGCGTACCCATTTTAGCCATGCCCTTCCAAGAAATTGACTGTATTGTGTAAACAGGGCTTCAGTCAGTTTCTGTAATAAACGAAAACTAAACAAACCAAAAAAGCCTGAAGAGAAGTGTATAAAGAGAGGACTGTAGCTAAAAGCTTAATTGGGGGGGGGGGTATATTCATATATTCGTCTTATGCTTGACTGAAGGGAATATGACTGAACACAAATATGAAATAAACAAACGAAAAAGCGAATTTTTTTGTCCGTATTTGCGATTACCTGGCAAAAACACAAAGTTTCAGCCCGGCCTGAAGTTTCAAATTGTACATTTTTGTATTTAGCATTTTATGATTTGAGTTAATTCCCGCAGGCAGAAATCCTTCATTCAAATCTCAAGAACAGGTGATTTTTAAAGTTTTGTGGGGTTTTTTGGGACACCCTGTATATGCAGCTGTACAGCTAAGGCGCTGTATAAAGAGTTGAGCAAAATCTCAAAAAGACTGTTAAAACTTACAATAGTCGTAAAATGATGCATTTCTGAAAGGTGAAACGTAGCCTCGCTGTTCTCGTGTAGAGGTTCGTAAGCTATAGGAAGACAAAATATGAATTATTGTACATATTTATGTATATATATATATATGTTTAAAAATTACACCACGAGCTCAAGTCTATATCGGCTGATATCCGACGAGATGCGTATATCGTACCGAGTTGGCTATCAGCCATGCTATATACGACGGGAGCAAGTGGTATATTTGTTATACAATAAAGCTACTATTTTCTGAACGAAATAAATATTGTATAAAAATTAAACTAGATCAACTATTGGTTTTATCTCAGTCAATCTTTCATTGAAAGTTTACATGCATGTTTTTCATGAAAACCCGTTTTCATGAACAAAGAACTACTTTTTTTCGGTTTTACTTCCTCCTAAATATTTTTATTTCATATTTTGTATATTTGTTTAGGATCTCTGGAAACTTAAGTTTCAAAGAGTGTTTTAATTTCTCTTTATCAGTCGTAACCAAAACTGTCGGCCATTTTGTTTTTGCTACAATCACGCGAGAGTGACCAAATTTTAATGCTGCCCACGCAACCTCTAAAAAGGGAGATAACGCGCTATTTCTCTAGGAAATCAATCAATAACAACTATAATCATGTGTGGAGCATATTTCGCTGTTTACCGTGTTTGGTTTTTCTTTGGCAAGTGGTATCTGATATAGAGTAAAAAACGTATTTTTTTACCGAGACCTCAGAAAACATTAAGTTTTGTGGACTTTTTCACTATAGTGTTAAGATTAGGATTATAATATCATAGGAATATCAGCAATGTTTCTTTGTAGAAAAATTAAACTTTCTTGACATTTTGCATGGTGAATTCATTAATACTTAAATCATCAATTTTTTGAGCTTTTGGTTTGTTACCCCGGGACTTGTGTAGTGCAATGGTGAATATTGCACTGACACAGGCCCCCGGGTAAAAGATAGAAAGCTCTGCATATAACAAATACACGTGGTTGTGTTCATAAATTGATGATTTAGCTTAAAGTTAATTTTTCTTTGAGGGGTTGAAACAGCCATTCCCATTTCTCTCACAATCGCCCAATTCTTACGAACATGTTTTATGCAGTTTTACCTTGTACAAATAAACTCTGTGCAAAATTAGTAATTTTTTTGAAAAAGAAAATCTCTCATTATCTCTTATTAAACATAATATTTCGTTGTTCATGCATGACGTCGGTTCCTCTCTCGCTGGAGATTTTAAAATCCTTTACGGGAAATTTTAGGTATTAAGCCGTTACAAGGACGAAACTTACACCTCCAAAACGGTAAACCTTATAGTCGATTACTTACATCGCAGTTTTAAATATCGTTCTATCAGTTTCGAAAAAGTAATTTTGAACACATCAAATATACGTTGCGGGAAATCGTTTAAAATTTGCACAATTATTTAAAGAGGGGACGGGCAATCAGTTTGATAAAGCATAATTGACAGTCCAAGCAAAAAGCACAAGAGCGACCATAAATATTAATTTTTTTATGAATGACGTTGTTGACGTACCTCAGTGAGTAACAGTTCAGTAAATAGAAAGTATTCTAAACTTTGTGTATCATTATAGGCGGGTTTGTAGACGCGATTTATAATCACAAATTGACCTTCGACAGAGGCCTGAATATCTATAAGAGGAAGAGAAGACGCATGAGAGTTGCGGTTTAATTGAATTGGTATGTATATGTGGGGTAGGACATTCATGTACACTGTAAAATTTTAATCGTGTAAGTAACAGAGTCATGCACACTGTATGCGAGTACTAAAATGAATGTGAGCTGAGTTATTTCATTAATTATAATCCTCTGTTATCGTTGGCAAACACTGCATTATCATATCAAAGCATGAATAATTAATGACATTTTTACCCAACCAAATTTCGTGAATAAGGTCACATTCACACCCTGTATACCACATTCAAATTAGATTGACTGTATCGGAAGGATGTAGCCCTTTGTCGCAGTCTTTTAAATGTACTAACATTGAAAATCATCATTTATCATTTTTTAAAAAATTTCCAGTGTAAACCTATATGTTTCCGTAGTCGATACTTAATAATTTTTCTCAAAAGTATATAAAGAACGCGAGAATTAAACTTTTCAGTACTTGGTAATAAGTACAATTTGAATGTTAAAATTGACAGATTTCGTATTTTGTATTCTGAATGGCGATTGGCTAGTTGTATATACTAGAGTGTTTTTTATTGGCTATGAGCCAGAGGGCAACTCCAATTGCAAAATATGCAATTTGTAGAGCTAATCATGAGATGTACAATCCAGGGTTAATACTCGTAATGATATTTTAATTACGCCAGGGCATTGTGTCGCACAATATACAGAACCCAAAGTTGTTTAAATTCTAATTTTATTGACAGTGCATATTGGACATTAGACAATCGATGTTTTTGTTGATAAGGCGCATGCGCGAAATATGAACTAGACTGTTAATCAGTAATACCCTGATGGGCTAGGTTTATATTACATTGAGAACACCGGTGTAAAAATCTCATTATAAGGATACAGAAACTATCGGCTTAAGAGGAATTGCAGGCACATGCAGGTAGCTGAGGTTGCCAACGATGTTAAGCTAAATACGCGAAACCTACCAGTACATTCTCCATCAATAATTTGCTGTCGTGGACTGGTACAATGGCAACGGTATGCTCCAGGGAAGTTGACACATTCTTGACCTTGACCTGAACATTTTCGCGATGCTCCAACACATTCGTTTATGTCTGCAAAGAAAGATATGAAAAATCCAATAGACCTTTTCGGTAGATACGTCACAACATTATCGTTTTAAATTCTGAACCACTTTAATTCAATCAGATGGATTTCAAGTTTTACTCTCGCGAGCCGCGTGCAAAGATACAAAACATTCTTCTTCAACACATGCACGGAAATAAGTTTTCATTTTGTTAAATAAGTAAGGAAATAAGTCATAACTGAAGAACGAGGCTCGCGGTCTTTGCCCCTAAGCTTAGTCAAGAACTAGCTTATTTCCACATTTTATTGGTGAAAATAATTTTTTTAAAACTAGCCAGTGGTGTTTTTACATGTTGCTTGATTGTCACAGTTGTCAGTGTCAAGTGCGCATTCATCAACATCTTTCAGTAAAGGCAATAAATCATGAATATTTGGCGAAAAAGGCGGGCAGATTCGATGAATGCGTACATTCGGGGCCGCTGCGATTGCAAATTGGATAGCAAATGAAAAATGGTTGAGAAATAAGAAAGACTGAAAAAGTTTTTGCATTAAAACGAGTTCTATATAATAATTCGATCTTAGGTTTCTTTTTAATTAAACTAAATCTTTATTGCAAATGAAGATAAATTTATAGCCTTAATAAATGTGGACGACTTGCATACAGATAATAAAAATTTGTTGGCAAACTTCGTTTAAAAAATCAGGATCTTAGCTAGACTTTTTAATTGGGGGACCGTTGTTAATTTATACACATCCACGTTTAAATATCATAAGAAATATCGAAAATAAATCACTTAACAATAGGTCAAATATTTGAATATACACTCCCCGTGCAATTAGGCTTCTAGTTACGGCTCTGTATTCAAGATGATCAATGCACGGGAGAATTGTCGTGCCAGTGCATCGTTACAAAGTTTTATTGTTAATTGCGTACCTTCACACATGATTCCATTTCCTGTAAAACCTTTATTGCAGGTACAAGTGAACGACCCATTGGTATTACTGCACGTTGCTTGACTGTGACAGGTGTGATTCCCAAGTGTGCATTCATCAACATCTTCAAAGGTAATAAAGATTGAATATTTAACGAAGGAGCTGGTTTTCTCTAATGATTAACTGTTAACGGGTTATTAATAATCTTGCTGAGCAGTTTATAATTATTATAGTTACAGGTGTTCCAAAGCAGCAGTGTTGTTAGTGTTGTTCGCATTCCGATTCCAGAAATTTAGATTTTAAATTTAGACCAAAACTATAACAAAATAGTAATGCAAAGCACATACCTTCGCATGCAGTACCATTTCCTGTATAACCGTCGTTACAGGTACAAATGAACGAACCGGTGGTATTACTGCACGTTGCCTTACTGTCGCAATTATGAGTCCCAAGTACGCATTCGTTAACATCTTGAAAGGTAATATAATTGAAGATTAAATGACCGAAACTGTTTAATAACTCGATGTGCATATTATGTTCATAATTATAGCAGTGTCAAATTTCACTGTCGTAATTATGAGCGTTGGTTCGAAAATCTCATCAGTGACCATTAATCATGAGTCCAAAGTTTTCATTCGTCAACATCTTCTGAAGTAACAAAGATCGAATATCTAATGCACGCTCGTATATTGTAACGTCCAAATAGACTGTAGAAGTTATAATCCCTCTTTTTATGATATAAAAATGTATTTTATGACAAACAAAATAGTAATAAAAAGTACATACCTTCGCACGTAGTTCCGTTTCCTGTATACCCTTCATTGCAGGTACAAGTGAACGACCCATTGGTGTTTTTACACGATGCTTGATTGTTACAGCTGTCATTGCGAAGTGCGCATTCATCGACATCTTTAAAAGTAATAAATCATGAATATTTGAAGAAGACAGGCAGTTTCGATGAATGCGTACATTCGGTGCAGAATAATATTTTCGAGCTGCGATTACTAATCGGATAGCGAATGAAAAATATTGGAGAAATAAGAAGGACTGAAGAAATATTCCAGAATATATTATATCATAAAACCATCTATAACATTTCATTCGTAATTTGCATCGCATGAAGTAGCGCACGCATCCATATTTAAAACAGGAAACACTTATATATGTATAAGCCATATACCACGCAGGTTGGTAAGTCTCGATTTCATTGCATGCAAACAACGTTAATAGGAAAAAAATACTTTAAAACCACTTAAATACCTTTCCAAAAACAACTTAGGATGGACACGATTTGCCCTTGATAATTCAATAACACTTTTTTACGGTTCATTGCCATTTTATGTCTTTTAACATAAGCACCATAATGCATTTCCTTCAAATTTAGGATTTTAGCAATAGATTTTTACTTTGTCGCAAATCTGCATTATAAACAATAAAAATGCACAATTTTGAGACAAATAGATATCAAACGTGTTTATGCTTACCAATACAGCCTGTGTTATTTTTTTCATATCCAGAAAAACAAATACATTCATAACTTGTGTTTGTGTTCCTACATAACGCGTTGTTACCACAATCAGGAGTATGGATAATATTTTGTGGATTACATTCGTCATAATCTGGGAGGAAAAAAATATTATCACATTAATTTTAACGATCGTAAAAAGAATAAAATGGCGGAAAGTTTTTTGCAAACAAACTAAACATCCCTGGCAGTGACGTAGCCAGCCTGACGATTTTGTCCCGCTATGTAAATTTCGAGTTATTATAATTATTAATTTCTTTAGAAATGTATTGTTTTCACAGTCAATGAACACCAAAATATTAGCATAGCGGGACAAATCGTCAGGCTGGCTACGCTACTGATCCCTGGAGGAAATAAAAAGGCCAGAAAGGTAATTGACAGTTCGCAACAAAGTACCAAAGTTGTACGATTTTCTTATGATAATAATAAACAAGTAATGTTGGTTGTACAATTAGGGATTAACTCTCCCCGACGACTTGTCCTATTTTTGCAAAATTTTTAAACATTACTCGTAATTTAATCCCGCTAATTGTAGTCGCAATCGCACGCGTGTAATTATTAATAATCATAAAAGCCTTTGTCAAAAACAAAATATTTACGAAGAAAATACGAAATTTATGTAATGTGATTATAAATAGACTACTAAGGAAAGGTGTACCCCTAAGGGGATAGCGTTGCCGACGATAATTAAAACTCTTATATGGACGGCCTTTGCCCCCCTATCCAAAAGACCGACAGGTAATTGAGTGCACGCAATATGGGAAAGGTGGCGAATGGCCAGCATCAATTTGAAAACTAACAAAGACCAAATACCCAAACCACAAACGGTCAGTTTAAGCGTGACATCGCAAAAGACGGAGTTCGTTTAAAGTTGAACCCACCTCCTCCCCAAAGCCTCCACTAACAATTAGGTACATTCGATGATTTACAGTAGCTGATATATATAGAGAGAGGACTGTTATATCTCAATAAGTGATGTTGTTATATAGGCGCTGTGTATTTTAAATGTGATTGGTTCATTCGTAGTCACATGACTTTAAATAAATGCAATGTTTCTCGCCAGGGAAACAAGTGAAAAATTGTTGCCCGCATATTGTCATAAAAAGTTTTTTGAAATGAAATTGTCGTGTAACATGTATGTTTTTGTTCCTATATAACAAAACATTTAATGTTCGCTACACCTCGGGAAATAGTGAGTTTTGTTTTCCCTCGAGCCTCAATGTTTCCCTCGACTTCGTCTCGGGAAACATTCAGACTCTTGGGAAAACAAAACTCACTATTTCCCTCGGGAGCATACATTAAGTGTATATTAGAAGGTGTATATATATATAAACATGTACTGGCGGTAGTTTGCCTCCACCCTTTTCTGAGCATAAATATTTGGAAACTTAAGGGAATGTATTCATAAATATCGTTTTGTTTGACAGAAATAAAGCGGCTAGGAGAACCATCACTCCTAGCCAATATTATCCCAAAACGGCGTAAAATTTAATGTGTCGTTATTAATGCTCTGAAAACTGAGCTAGCGGAAAGGGTATGCAAAATTCATGGCTGGCAATATATCTATTCGGAAATAAATCACATTACATAAAGGTATTTTGTGCCTAATCCATAATTTTTGGCCCTGAGAATTGTAAATCAATATTGCCTCGGTGATATTCTTAGGATAAACTATTTTCTCTGTCTGCATGGCACCAAGTTTAGAAATTAATGAGCGGAATCCCTTCGCCAGTGTAAACTTTTATATGCACGCATGTGCTTATTCTTTTGTGAATATATAACATGTCTCTTTGGTCATGATTTTCAAACTAGGAATCCATAGATAGTGCAAAGTTTCATACCCTCTAATACCTCATTATAGGGTTTTAACTTCTGTCAGTAAAAATCTAAGGAACCCGGTTTAACAAAACCCTGATTCAAGCAGAAAGTTCATTTTCAATATTTCGATTGCTCTTAAAATTATCGTGAAATTTGTACGCTTCATTTACCAGGCTAGATTACAATTGTAATTCCAAATTATTTCGTTGATTGTACAGTTGCATGTGAACTAATGAGATAGTATTTAGATGCCTGTATGTAAGGGGACAGATTTTGGTGAAAAGGCACTCCTGTAGCAATGCGTAATAAACGAAATATAGAATGTTTGCAAAGCATTGTTTGACCCATTGAACCTGCTATCATCATATTTAGACGATTGTGATATTCTTGATACTCGTTCGTGAAACTTCTACTTGAAGCTCTGTTCACACGATCCAATTTTGTTGGATCCAATTCACTTCTGAAGTGGTTTAATAGTTTGTTCAGTTGACTTGCAATGAATATGGGCAGCAAATACACTGAAGCCAATTCAGTATTGTTTCATCGATAATAGGCTATATCCCATACGTCAAAAGTGAATTGGATCGATCAAAATTGGATTGTGTAAGGGCACCTTTGCCCCAATTGCCCGGTAAGGGGGGGGGGGGCAGTTGTATTCTTTTTGAATTCACATCAGCTATATAAAATTATGTATCATATTCATCTTACTAATTGCTTCAACCCAATTACATCATTCTATAGAAACGCAATATCTTGTAATTTAAAGCCATAATAGAAAAATTATATGACAGAAGCTTCTCGAGTTTTTTCCTTAACTTGAGCCTGCCTGACTGCCGCCCGCTATTAATTTTAATACTTTTACACAAACGCCTCTGCGGACGAAGGTAGTGCTGTTGTTATATGTTAGCCAAAATATTGGATAAAGCGTTAATATATTTTGGAGTTAAATACCTTTCACACTAAATTGGCTTTTTACTTCAGTGAGATTTGTGCTCTTGCTGATTTGGAAATCTGCTCCAAGAAATGTGCCGTTTTGCGTTACATTCATTGACTCGACTAACTCTTCTTGAATATTTTCATTGTTTATTCCAGCGGAATCATTGAATGTTGCAACGTAATCAAAACCAACAGATCCTTCGCTGAAATCGTAAAAAAGAGAAATTAGACTTTACTAGATATATAATGCCAGATTCGTGTCTCAACGTTTACCGCCAGAAACTTTTGTTCCTTACAAATGATACTTTGAAACTCGTGATCTTTTCGTCATTTGCGAAAGTATATTTTGAAAATGTGTGGAGACGGCATACTCTGTGGCGTAACAAACCTGACCTGACGATTTAGTCATGCTATGAAAATTATTATTATTCATTTATTGCTTTTATTCATTATTCATTATCATTATTCATTTATTGCTTAGAAATTCATTAATTGCTTTCACATTCAATCAATACCAAAATATTAGCATTTAGCATCTAAATTGTCGGGCTGGCTGCGCCACTGGGGATCAGTAGCGTGAAAACCATAAATTTCTAAAGACATGCATGAATAATTATAATAACTCGAAATTTACGTATAGCGGGACAAAATCGTCAGGCTCGCTACTACGAACGTTTACAGTGTATTAAAACGTTTACAGTGCTATAAAATTTTTTTCTTATTATCATTATTCGTTTCTTTAGATATTCATTAATTGCTTTCACAGTCAATCATCACCAAAGTATCATCGATTGATTTACGGTGTACAGTGACGGATCAAAGGCAAGTGACGCATCAAAGGCAAGTCAGAATAATGGTAGATTTCTACTTATAGAGGAAATCCGTTCAAAAAACAGTCTCAAAAACACTCAAAATTGAAATCACACAATGTAATAGTTAGACAAGATAAAAGACCTTTATTAACCATATAGTTATAATTATTACAATATACATCAAATTTTAACAGCAGCCCGGTGATTTCAAAATTTTGTGTTTTTTTTGACACCTTTACACCTAATTCTAGCTACGGCCGTGAACAAAGAGTTGAGGAAAATTTCAAAGGCTGCTAAAACTTACAATAGTCGTAAAATGATGATCGACTGAAAGGTAAAACGTAGCCTCGGTGTTCTCGTGTAGAGATTCGTAAGCTATAGAAAGACAAAATATAAACTATTATAGATAATTATATATGCATATACTAATAATATGTTTGTATTCTTGTATTCTTATGCATATATTAATAACATTCTTGATATTTTGCATGGGTAATCAATACATGAAGAATCATCAATTTGCTTTCGGTCCGTTACCCCGGGGTTTATGTAGTTCAATGGTGAGTATTGCATTGACACAGGCCCGGGTAAAAGATAGAAAGCTCTGCTTATATGGTGTTGTTCACAAATTGACGATTTTAGTAAAAAAACTTTTTAGTATTTTTTAAAAAAGGAAGTCTCTCATATGTAACTATTAAACATAATATTTCGTTGTTCATGCATGACATCGGTTCTTCTTTTGCTGAAGATTTTAACATCCTTTACAGGAAATTTTAATGGGTATAAACGCGTTGCGAGGACCAAACTTATAGGTATACCTCCAACACTGTAAACCTTATAATCGATTACTTACAATCGTTGGTTTAAATATTGTGTTATTTCAAAAAAGTAAGGCTAATGATCCGAATTCAGAACACTTTTTCTATTCACAACACTTATAATGATACGCTAGTCAAACAACTAAAGCATATGGGAGTGTAGGAAATATGATGGATGATCCATCCATGCAAACGGAATTTTTTGCAGTTTCGACATGAAGTGTTCAGACGCCAATTCCATTGACCAAATTTATCTCTATTCCTCATTGAAACTGAAAATGTATATCAGTGTTGATGAATGGAATACAAAAACAAAAATATCGAAGCAAAAAGCACATGAGCGATTTCATGAATATTATTTTATAAGAATGTCGTAGTTGTACATACCTCAATGATTAACACTTGAGTAATTTGAAAGTATTCTAAACTTTGTGTATCATTATAGGCAGGGATGAAGACGCGATTTATAATCACAAATTGACCTTCGACAGATGCCTGAATATCTAAGAGGAAGAGAAGACGCATGAGAGTTGTTGTTTGATCGTTTAGGTAGGGTAGGACAGTCATGTACTGAAAATTTTAATTGTATAATGTTATTAATGTAATGTTAAAATTACGGCGTGCTAATTGGCCGATTTATTTCAGTAATAATACATTTCGTTGATTATTACATTTTGTAATCATCGGCAAATACTGTATTATCATTGGCTAAGAGGAGTGGGATTTGAGCGGCTCGTCCAACTTTGGTAAAATTTTCAAACATCACTCCTACTATTAATCCCGAATTGCACTCGGTCGCATGATTTTAATTGCACATTTTGCAATGTGTAATTACACTCTTGCCAATAAAAGATATATTATATTTAATAAAAAACATTGCAGTATATATACAACTAGCCAATCGGCATTCAGGATACAAAGTAAGAAAAACAAAATGAAAAAATGGCGCTTTTTTTCACAAAAAAACTAAACAGTCCTGAAATTCCCAAGAGAGGCGAAAATATTAGAGAAAGTAGAAAATCTTGGATAAAAATCGACCGAAATGATATACCTACATCAGATACTAATAAGTTATACAGGTATTGTAAAATCAACATTTTGTTTTCCAATATAAGATCTTTTCGTTGTCATAATATATCTATATATACTTTGATCGGCAACATCACTTAAGGTGGATTTCTATTCAGTACAAAATGTCGCATGGTCGACAATTTAGCTCAATTTTCAATCCCGATACACAAAGCACGCGAAATTTTAAACAAAAATTCAAAATGGCTGCCATGAAACTGAGACGGATTTTCTTCATTGAACTGCAGGTAACCTGGAACGCTATTATGAGCTGAAATACTTGACGCTAGATGTTGGGCTGGGTGTAAAATTAAAGCTATTGAAAAGTTATATTTCGAAATTTAAAGATTTAAACTACAAGGAAATTTTTAAAAAAAAACAATTACCAACCGCCAAAAAATCGAGAAATTTTCAAATATTTTTTAGATAATTATCTTTGTGGAAATCATTTTTATAGGGCTGAGTTTGCAAACAACAACAAATTTGCCTTTTCGTAGTTCGCTGCTGTTATTCCTTTGTCTAGGAGAAAGTTTCTCAAATTATACACATTCAAGGTTTCATCTGTTATCGTCGTGATATCCATTGTTATAGGCTTGTAGTATATATTGTTTTCAATGTTTTGCTTGTCCGAACTCTATCCCGCTCCGCAAATTAGACAATCAAATTTTTCCATCCAAAACCAACGCGCCACGTGCGGAAAGGTCTATTAGAAAAGCGATCGCAAAAAGTCGATCGCGTGACATTTTGTACCCAATGGAAATACTCTTTTAACCACGTGACGGAACGCGAGGTACTAACTCTGCCCAGATATTTTAACAACACCAGGACATTGTGTCGCACAATATACAGAACCAAAAGTTACTTAAATTCTAATTTTATGAACAGTGTATGGTTGACATTAGACGGTCTAGTTGGTCGTTTTTGTTGATTAGGCGCATGGGCGAAATATGAACCGGAATTGTAATTGGTAACACCTAGATTGGTTATTTTGGTATTACATTCAGAACACTGGTGTCCATATCTCGTTATAAGGTAATGAAACTAAGAGGAATTCCAGGCACATGCAGGTGGCCGAGGTTGCCAACGATGTTATACTTCATGTACACGAGACCTACCAGTACATTCTCCATCAATAATTTGCTGTCCTGGACTAATACAATTACAACGGTATGCTCCAGGAAAGTTGAAACATTCTTGACCTGCACCTGAACACTTTCGCGATGCTCCAACACATTCGTTTATGTCTGCAAAGATAGAAATGAGAAATCCATTTAGCCTAATATTGTAGAAAAGCAGAATTAACTAAAAGTTAGCATCAAATGTGGTATAACAACTCCCTAAAATAGACAATACCCTTCTCGACGTTTCGACCCGAGGACCTTCGTCAGGAAAGTTAGTATTAGCATTTCAGGAGAGTTAGTTTTTCAAAACAATTCTCTTGACGAAGGCCCTCAGGTCGAAACGTCGAGATGTATTTTGTCTATTTCAGGCAGTTGTCATACCACATTCGATGCCAAATTGTTTTGAAGACGCTGCTCTTTGGTTATTTTAACTAAAAGTTAATCAAATATTTGCATGTAGCTGCCTTCATAAGAGAGTTTTTTTGAGAATTTTTGAAAATAAGGCACAATGTATCCTATTAACAAAGATCCCTCCCTCCCTTGTGGTTGTCAATTGCAAGGAGATTCCCTCGCATTTGTCGAAACCCGGGGCCCATCGCTATGCTTTCCCTGGCAACGTGTCCCTGAAATATCATACAAAAGCAAAAGCTCAATTTCATTCAGTAAACTGTTGGCATTGACGTTGTTTATTTCTTGGACTTTACTTCTTTCTATCGTTTTTAAAGTTAGCTTTTTATCGTTGTATCCTTGTATTATTCTAATCTGTGAAGGTATTAAAATTTATTCCTTCTTGGACACCGTTTTTTTATCATTTTGACACTAAATATAATAACAAATACTGACTAGGCATCTCGGGAAAACAGGGTTTTTTATCCTGGTCCACTAACTGTTGCCCAAAGCACACAGCTGACTTTTTTCTAAACTTTTAAATCGACAAGCTAGTGCCGCATTTGCAAGTTTTGCCGCGTTGCTGGACTGTGACGGTTTATAGTCCGGTTAGGACTAAGTTGGGAGGGGGTTAAATATATTTACATACATTTACGTTTACATATCATAGGAACAATAGCGTACAAAATATATCAGCTGGAAGTAGGTCGAATATTTGAATATACTCTATCCCAATTTAATGAAGCTTCAAGCTATGGCCCAGTAATACGAAAGCTGATCAACGAACGGGACAATTGTCGTGCCAGTGGTTGCAAAGTCGTATTGTTAATTCCATACCTTCACACGTGGTTCCATCTCCTGTATAACCTTCATTGCAGGTACAAGTGAACGACCCAGTGGTATCATTGCACGTTGCTTCACTGTGGCAATTGTGAGTCCCAACTGTGCATTCGTTAACATCTTGAAAGGTAATATATATAATTGAAGATTTAACGAACGAGCTGGGTTTTTCAACGTACGTTTATGTAATAAAGCCCAATTAGATTGCGGTGCCCGCGCCAAGTTTGGCACCGCATTATATTCTGCCTGTGAGTTTGTTTGTTCGCATCAATACGTTTCCTTAATCGCCAAGTAAAAATTCCTTGTACATACTTGGAATGCTTGGAATTTTTTCCTAATTATTACTATTAATCTTGTTGTACGTTTGGCAAATTCCTTTTTTAAAGGAACGTTCTTTTTTCAATTTCAATCTCAAACTCTGATAATTGCGTGTATCTCTGCTTTTATGCACCCAAGAAGGACAAAAATACCACCATTCGATTCAGCGTAAGAAATTATACTTACAGGTCTTAAATATATTACTAAACAAGAGTATTCGCAGCGATTTATGACGTTTGAAAGACAAACGAAATTGAATTGTTGACAAATCGCTCAAAATTACTATGCTATACTTTACTAGTAATAGTAAGTTTGGTCTTTGACATCTTTCATATCGTTGGTTTTCTCTTTTAATTTTCGTCCTTAAATAAGTGGATCGGTCTTACATTGCGATTTATTTTATAGTACTTTGAGCCAAATATATTCCATTTCGAAGGTTTTAAAGTATAGTTTCAATAACCGAACTTTATGACAAATCGCTCAAAATTATTAAACAAATTAAAAATGCAGTACGCTTAATCCTTGACTTCTGTATCGTTGCTTTTCTAGTTTCCGGCTCTACGCCAGTTTATTCGTCTCACGTTTCTCTTCATTTTGATAGTATTCTTAGATATTATTTTTAGCCTAAATATTTTATTTCTGAAGATTTTAAAACGGCGCAATTCTGACCTTAATGTACCAACCAACCAGGCTGCGGCCGACAGGAGAATGTAAGTTGGTGATGTCGTTAGAAATGAGCGGACGTTTTATTTCTAGACAAGCATTGCGGGCACCGCATTTTAGTACTGTGTCTGGTTGTATAGTTGTTCCTTTTATGAAGTATAAATGTCTAACTGATGACGGATTATTATCTTCCGAGCTGTTTATATTATATACCTGTGCCAAAAAGACAGTATTGCGTGCTTGTTCATCGTATCTTATACCCGAATGCCGATTTAAGAAATTTTAACCAAAACTACAACAAAATGCTAACGGAAAGCACGTACTTTTCCACGTTCATATAACTTTTTTTTTTTTTGTAAGAGAAAATCATTACCCTTACAACGTAAATTATAGTTTTGGTTATTAGCGATTTGGAACAATTTGTTCATACGGCAATTCGTTATTTTTCACTTGATACACTTTTCTTAATGAGAGTATATAATTATCTTCATGGTAGTTGCATGGATGTCCAGAAAATGCATTGAAAGGAATTTTGAGTCAGTTTGATTCTGCCAGACGTGCTAGACTTTCAACTGAATTTCAACTGATTCACGCGCTCATTTACATCTTCCAGCAATGTGGCCTTCATCACTAATTGGATTTGCTTGAGCACAAAATTGAAGGTTTATGCCCTCAATTGAAGGTTTATGCCCTCAATTGAAGGTTTATGCCCACGCATCAATAGGGCGTGCATATATAGGATGGTTTTGTCAACTGATTCTCCAGTGAAGCTAGCAGCTGAGATATTTTGTGTTATAATATCCTTGTGATCACTAATGTCCCTTAGGGCTTCAATCGCCATGAGCAGTTTATAAAATATTTCCAAACGCAGTGGAAAACCAATCGTCAATAAGATTAGTTATTGTAATGTCATTGTTGTAAGGCTATTCCACTTGTTTTTATATGGTGGCGAATTTATCTTAATTACCGACAATAAGCCGCTGGAGATAATATATGGAAAGAGAAATGCAAAGGCCTCTACACGCATAGAGCGGTAGATTTCACGATTATAGCCCATTTTAAAGTAGTGTATAAATCTCGCGCGGAGAACCCCGCAGACTATTTATCAAGACATCCCACTGCAAAGAGCGTACACGAACAAGAGAAAATGACAGAGGTGTAGCTATAAATATTTTACTGTAATTAAATTCAAGTATCGAAAAAACAAATGGAGATCCTACACTAAAAGGTTTACGTGCTGCAATAAGACTTAACCATTGGGGATCTCCAGTCGTCAACGAGTATAAACATGTGAAAGATGAACATTCGATTTTTTCCGATTTTTATCGCATAGTTGTACAACACAGTTTACGACAGAGAGCATTTCATATCGCGCATGAACATGTACTTAGGTATACGTATACGGAGAACAAAAGCTTTGCTTCGGGAAAAGGCGTGGCTTCACCACATCGAAAACATGATAAAGAAGACTATGGATAAGTGCATCACCGGTCAAGCGGTTGCAAGTCCAAACCCACCCAGAACCAATTACCATCGCAGAGATGCCGAAAGCCTAATAAAAGTATTGACTTTTACGGGCCACTCGCGGCCGGAGAGTATATCTGCTTGTAGTCATTGTTCGTTATTTACGATTTCCAGAGAAAAAGGTGGTAAACTCTACAAAAGCTTCCGTGATAATCAGCCAAACTTGATAAAATATTCACGGTGCACGGCATCCCCAAAACCATTCGATCCGACAAAGCACCGCCATTCATTGGGGAAGACAACTTCCGTTGTTTACAGACTATAGGTATAAAAGCTGAGTTTCGACGCCCACAGTGGCTCCAAGGCAACGCAATTATAGAATGCTTTATTCGACCACTCGGCAAAGCTCTAAAGACTGCAAAGCTTCACGTTTGCAAGCATTAAATTGAGATTGATTTTGATTTATCAGTACAAATCTTTTGTATTTTTCCCCAAATAAAACATTCTAAATAATCATAAGCAAACTGAGCAAACCAGGAAATTAAATAATCGTGTGAGCTACTGTAGATAGGTGTCGGTGAAACAGCAATAGAAATATCGCTCGCATTCAAATCTTCGCCTTGCAATAGAAATTCAGAGAAAATATATTTCGACAAAGGATATAACAAATAATTTCGAACATCCAGATATTCTATCCTTACGTTACCTGTACAGTTGTAGCCATTGCCCTCATAGCCCATGTTACAAGTACAATTATATGAACCACCAGTATCGGTACAATTTGCCTTTACATTACAAGGATTTGTTTGACATTCATTGATATCTAGAAACATATTACAGATAACATTGGCAAGAAGAATATTGAGTTTGATTTTGATAATCTGAAGAAAAATTTTTCCATACTTTTCCCCAAAACAAAAATATTTTATTAAATATCTATCAACAAGCTGAGTAAATGACATGGTGAACAATAGCAAATGAAAAAGAATCTAAAATCCTCACTCCATCTTTAACTTAGGCACGCTGGAAGGTAAAGACTAAGTCATGGGTATATAAAACAACTACGAACGCAAACAAGGAAATAAGAGTAATCGTGTGAGCTAGGTAGCTGTCGGGGAAATAGCGGGTAAATATCGCTCGGGTTCAGCTTTGCCTTTCCGAAAGAAAGCCGGAAGAAAATAAATTTTGACAATGCAATTATACCAAATACCTTTGAATATGCCGATATTCTATTTTTACGTTACATGTACAGTTATAACCATTGCTCTCATATAGCCCATGCGACAAGTACAATTATATGAACAATCTGTATTAGTACAATTTGCATTTACATCACAAGGATTTGTTTGACATGCATTGATATCTAGAAATATAATTATTACAGATGACGTTCGCAAGGACTACATTAAGATTCATTTTGATCATCTGTACAAAATTTTGTATTTTTCTCGAAAATAAAACATATTACTATCAATCTGATTTAGCTGAGTAAATGGCATGGTGAATAATTGTAAATGAAAAAAGAATGTAAACTTTTTTCTCCTTCCTCAACTTAGGCACGTGAGATCCAAGCCAAAGACTAATTCATGTTTTAATTATTTAACTATTATAGCAAACAAAAATGGGAATTAAACCATTCATGTGGTCTACCTAGCTGTCGCGGAAACAGCGGATAAATATCGCTCGCATTCAGATTTGCCTTTGCGACAGAAGAACAGAAGAAAATAAATTTTAGCACTGCATGATATAACAAATCATTTGAATACGAGAATAACCTATTTTTACGTTACCTGTACAGTTGTAACCATTGCCCTCGTAGCCCATGTGACAAGTACAATTATATGAACCATCAGTATTAGTACAATTTGCATTTAAACCACAAGGATTTGTTTGACATTCATTGATATCTAGAAATAAATCATAGATGACGTTCAAAAGGATTTCATTGAGTTTGATTTTGATAATCTGTAGAAATCTTTTTCTTTACTTTTTCCTAACACAAAACTATTTTATTGTATAACTATTAGCAAGCTGACTTAGCTGAGTATATGGCATGGCGAACAATTGTAAATGAAAAAAGAATGTAAAATTTTCTTTATGCCGATATTTTATGTTCACCTTACCTATACAGTTGTAACCATTGCCCTCATAGCCCATGTTACAAGTACAATTATATGAACCATCAGTATTAGTGCACTTTGCATTTACATCACAAGGATTTGTTTGACATTCATTGATATCTAGAAATATATTATAGATTACGTTCAAAAGGATTTCATTGAGTTTGATTTTGATAATCTGTAGAAATCTTTTTCTATACTTTCACCCAAAACAAAAAATTTTCATTATATAATTATTAACAATCTGACTTAGTTGAGTTTATAACATGGTGAAAAATTGTAAATGAAAAAAGAATGTAAACTTCTTTTTCCTTCCTCAACTTAGGCACGTTGGATCCAAGCCAAAGACTAATTCATGTTTTAATTATTTAACTATTATAGCAAACAAAAACGGGAATTAAACTATTCATGTGGTCTACCTAGCTGTCGCGGAAACAGCGGATAAATATCGCTCGCATTCAGATTTGACTTTGCGACAAAAGAACAGAAGAAAATAAATTTTAGCACTGCATGATATAACAAATAATTTGAATACGAGAATAACCTATTTTTACGTTACCTGTACAGTTGTAACCATTGCCCTCGTAGCCCATGTGACAAGTACAATTATACCAACCATCGGTATTAGTGCAATTTGCATTTAAACCACAAGGATTTGTTTGACATTCATTGATATCTAGAAATATATCATAGATGACGTTCAAAAGCATTTCATTGAGTTTGATTTTGATAATCTGTAGAAATCTTTTTTTATACTTTTTCCTAACACAAAACTATTTTATTGTATAACTATTAGCAAGCTGACTTAGCTGAATATATGGCATGGCGAACAAATGTAAATGAAAAAAGAATGTAAAATTTTCTTAATGCCGATATTTTATGTTCACCTTACCTATACAGTTGTAACCATTGCCCTCATAGCCCATGTTACAAGTACAATTATATGAACCATCAGTATTAGTGCACTTTGCATTTACATCACAAGGATTTGTTTGACATTCATTGATATCTAGAAACATATTACAGATAACGTTGGCAAGAATTATCTTCAGTTTGATTTCGATAATCTGTAGAAATCTTTTTCTATACTTTTTCCCCCCAAAAATTCTTCATTGTATGATTATTAACAAGCAGACTTAGCTGAGTATATGGCATGGTGAACAATTGTATATCAAAAAAGAATGTAAAATTTTGTTGATGCCAATATTCTATATTAACCTTACCTGTACAGTTGTAACCATTGCCCTCATAGCCCATGTTACAAGTACAATTATATGAACCATCAGTATTAGTGCAATCTGCATTTACACCACAAGGATTTGTTTCACATTCATTGATATCTAGAAACATATTACACATAACGTTGGCAAGGACTAAATTGAGTTTGATTTTGATAATCTGTACAAATCTTTTCTATACTTTTCTCCAAAACAAAAGTATTAAATAACTGTTAACATGCTGAGTATAATTACAAATGAAAAAGAATCTAAAATCCTCTTTCCATTTTCAACTTAGGCATGTTGGAAGGAAAAGAATAATTCATGGGTATATAAAGCAACTACTAGAGCAAACAAGCAAATTAGCTAGAGTAATCGTGTGAGCTAGGTAGCTGACGAGGAAGCAGCGGATAAATAGCACCTTTCGAAAAGACCGTAAGCCGGAAGAAAATCAATTTTGACAATGCATATAACAAATACTTTTGAATATGCCGATATTCTATTTTTACGTTACCTGTACAGTTATAACCATTGCCTTCATAGCCCATGTGACAAGTACAATTATATGAACCATCAATATTGGTACAATTTGCATTTACATCACAAGGAGTTGCTTGACATGGATTGATTTCTAGAAATATATTATAGATGACGTTTCAAAGATTACATTGAGTTTGCTTTTGAAAAAATATTATTCATTATATAATTATTAACAAGCAGACATAGCTGAGTATGTATGTATGTATGTAACCTTTATTTAAAAAAAAAAACTTGATCGACGCTAGCCTCATCAACATTTGCTGGTTTCCATGAGGGGCGTCGATATACATGCAAAAGGAAAGTAAAAAATAACTATTTACAAACGAAACATGAAAGAAGAGAGAAGGTACAAAGTTAGTAGAAAATATGTACATTAAAGTTTTACTTATTATATGGTGTGACCTATTTAATGTGATATTCGTTTGAAAACGTATTCTGATTCTGCTAATTTTGCTTCCAGAGAAAGGCTATTCCAAAGTTTCGCGCCACTATATTTGAAACTTTTTTTAAGGAAATCCCTTTTCGGAAGAGGAAGAGCTAGATCAGTTAATTTCGTGAGCAATTGTAAATCAAAAAAGAATGTAAAATTTTGTTTATGCCGATATTCTATGTTCACTTTACCTGTACAGTTGTAACCATTGCCCTCATAGCCCATGTTACAAGTACAATTATATGAACCATCAGTGTTGGTGCAATTTGCATTTACATCACAAGGATTTTTTTGACATTCATTGATATCTAGAAACATATTACAGATAACGTTGGAACGGATTACATTGAGTTTGATTTTGATAATCTGTACAAATCTTTTCTATACTTTTTTCAAAAGAAAAATATTATTCATAATATAATTATAACAAGCAGACTAGCTTAGCTGAGCATATGGAATGGTGAACAATTGTAAAACAAAAAAGAATGTCAAATTTTGTTTATGCCGATATTCTACGTTCACCTTACCTGTACAGTTGTAATTACCATTGCCCTCATAGCCCATGTTACAAGTACAATTATATGAACCATCAGTATTAGTACAATTTGCATTTACACCACAAGGATTTGTTTGACATTCATTGATATCTGTAATAATTAAACACACTCTGATTTCATATTTTATACTTTATATTTTAAACTACAAAACGTCCCCCAAACTTTAACACGCTCCTTTCCTCGTATATCTCTCGTCCCCATGCTCCCGCCTAATAACGTCAATCATTACATCGCTTTCTCTTTTTTTTTTTTTTTTTTAAAACTCAACTGAATAACTATGAAATGTTTGTTATTGTTCCCAGTTCCCAAGTTTTAGGACACTAGTCCAGATGGTATTGGGTTACCAAATCTGTTTACAGGTTGTTGTTTTCTCGTTGATCTTCTTGGTGGTGGTTGGTGTTCTTCAAAATCCTGCATCTCATGATTCTCATCTTCGACTCCGTTACCTCGTGCATCATCCACGTTTTTGGTCTTCTCTTCGTCACTACTTTGAACAAAGTAGTTCATCCGCAGGTTTAACTACTTTGAAATGAGACACATTGCGTGTGATAGTACGTCTGTCGTTTCTAGCTGTGGCTGTTGCTCCTTTCCTCTTCACGATCGTAAATCGCTCAGGATTGAATCTAGGAGATAGCTTGTTAATTGGTTTTTGTTTGCAAATAACAATGTCACCTTCCTTGATTGTGGATGTTTTGGTGTTATTCTTGACATCATAATATTGCTTATTACTGATCTTCCTCTTCTCAATGTTTTCCTTAGCGCTTTAATGCTTGTTAACGATTTTCTTTGTTGATAGCTTAGGTAGACTTCCTTGAACCTTTCGGTTTAACAGTAACTCACATGGAGGTATCTTAGTAGTGGCATGCGGCGTTGAGCGATAATTTAATAAGAATCGTTGAAGTTCTTGTCTCCAATTCTTTCCCTCTAACACAGAAGTCTTTATCACTTTTCCTAGCGGCTTCATCACTCCTCCGATTACCATTCCCTTGGGGCCATAATGGAGTGCTTCTGGTCCATTCGACTCCCAAGGCAGCCATGTATCTTTTGAAGTCATCCCCATTAAAAGGTGGGCCATTATCAGTTTTAATTGTTTTTGGAATGCCGTGAGTTCCAAATATACGGTCTAGCTTAGGGATACAGGCCTTCGCTGAAGTTGACTTCACAATTTCCACTTCAGGAAACTTAGAATACGTGTCGGTTACCACAAGTAAATACTGTCCACAGTGGGGAATAGGACCATAAAAATCGAGTGCCAAGCTTTGCCATGGCTCCGTTGCTGTAGGCGTAATCCTCATCGGTTCAGGTGGACTACCGGGACCAACAGCTTGACAAGCCGCACAGTTTTCAATGGTTTTAATTTTACTATCCATTCCAGGATACCAAATTTTCTCTCGTAATAGCGCTTTAGTCTTTTCTATTCCCTGGTGTCCCACATGGCCAAGTTGCGTTGCACGGTCTTGTAATGAATTTGGTAAAACAATTCTGCTTCCCTTCAGAAGAAGGTCTCCTGCTTTCGTTGCTGTTAGTTCTTCCGCACACATGTGATAAGATTTGAGTTCTACATCCTTCTCGTCCCATTTCCCTGTTTTTAAGCATTCCACAACTCTGCTTAAAGTTGCGTCTGACAGGGTGGCATCCTTGATTTCTTGGAGTGTCATTGACTTTGTAGGCGCGTTGTTAATGATATAGTTTACATAATTATCTGCAATCTTTTCTTCGACTGTGGTTTTTTCTTGAGTGCTGGTAGGATGACGGCTCAAATAATCAGCTTCATTAATTGTTCCCTTCTTGTAAATCACACGGAAGTTGTACGGTTGCAACCGTAACATCCAGCGCTCTATACGAGCTGGAGGCTTAGATTTCGGATTATTGAAGATTGCTTCCAGAGCTTTATGGTCAGTATAGACATCGAACTCACTACCTAGAAGGAACAGTCGAAAGTGTTTAATTCCCCAAACTAGACTCAAACCTTCAATATCTGTCTGAGAATATCGACTTTCAACTGGAGACAGGGCTCTACTTGCGTAGGAGATAATACGGTACAGTTCTCCGGACTTTTCTCGTTGTGCTAAGATTGCACAAATTCCCAAAGGCGATGCATCAACAATAAGCAAGCTTCTTTTCTCTGTATCGAAATAAGCCATAGTAGGAGCTTGTGTCAATTTCTTTTTGATCTTCTCAAAGGCTCTTTGGTGAGTATTGTTCCATGTGAAAGCGACACTTTTTCTTGTGAGATTCCTCAGCGGTGTAGTAATTTCAGCATACTCTGGAACATACTCTCGGCACGTGTTAGCTAGACCCAAAAAACTGCGTACTTCGCTGGCATTCTTTGGTGCTCTGGCTTTGACCAAATTTTCTACTCTTGCTGGATCAGGTCTTGTTCCGGTTGCTGTAAAAATGAGACCATAGAAGTTAATCTCGTTGCGTAGGAAACTACACTTCTCGGGTTTCGCTTTTAAGTTGAGTTCATCTAGTCGTTTCAAGCAGTTTTCTAAGGCTTCATCGTGTTGCTTTCGTGTTTTCCCGTGAACGATTATATCGTCTGCGATATTCTTTACTCCACAAATGTCACTAAGGTGTTGTTGCAAAATGTTTTGGAATATTTCTGGTGCACTGTTTGTTCCATAGTTCAGTCGTTTGTAACGAAAGAGGCCTTCATGTGTCGAAAATGTGGTTATGTAGCGACTTTCTTCGGTCAGTTCTAACTGATGGTAGGCTTGTTTTAGATCGATCTTCGAGAAATATTTCGATCCATTCATCTCAGCACGAAAGTCGGAAAGGGTTGGCATGATATGTCTTTCCCGCTCAATCGCTTCATTGGCTGCCCTCATATCAACACAGATTCGTGTTCCGCCATCCTTCTTTGGGGTGCACACAACGGGCGAAATCCAGGGTGTAGGTTGGTCACAGACTCTTTCGATCATATCTTTCTCCATCAATTTTTCTAGCTCTTTTGATACATCTTTGCGAATATGATAAGGTATCCGGCGCTGCGGCTGAACTACCGGTTTAATATTCTTATTAATATGCAACCCGACTTGTTGAGTGTTCAATTTTCCTTCACCAACGAAAACATTTGCATATTTATCAATAATTTCCTGGATATCTTTATCGGCGCATTTCGGCGTTGATGCAAGCGCTGGCTGGCTTTTATCCGTGCTTTTATTGCTTTTTCCGGTGTTTTCCATATTCTTCGAAATGACTTCCGGTTTAGAAACTTCCGGTTTCAGTGGCGTCTCAAGTTCAGTGACTTTGTTTACCAATTGAATTAATGCCAAATCTTGAGCGGTTTTGGCACTAAGTAGATTTCCAGAGCCACCTTCGACAACATGAATAACCGAGACAGTATAACGTTTGTTCGACTCCAAGGTTGCCTGAAATTGACCTTTAAGAGGTAGTGGTTTATCCGAGCCATAAGCAAATATCTGTGTGGCACTCTTGCACAATTTTACGCTGGATTTGAGGCGATCGTACGTTTGGGAATCGATGACATCAACTGTGGCTCCTGTATCAACAATGAAATTAATGTTAGTTGAATTTATCCGTATGTTTGTTTTCGTCTTTGGGTGGTCTTTGGTTTTGTTCTTCACTGCGTACACATAATCGTCTTCTGAACTGGTCTCCGTCGAGGAATCGAGATGTTTGTTGACTGCCCGTGCATGATTTTTTTGTTTGGATTCTGATTTCAATTGTTCTTTTGATTGTTCTCTTCGTCGGGGCGATTCTTTTGGAAGTTGTGACTTGGGAAAACGACGCGATTGTTTCTTTCGACACACTCTCGAAAAATGACCAAGTATACCACACGCATTACAAGTTGAATTGGCAGCTGGACACGGGCGATCCCCATGAGGGTAAGCAAATCCACAATTATAACACATAGATTCAGCTGGTCTTCTCTCCACTTGATTAAGTTGTACATCTTTAAATTTTTCTTCCATCCCACTGGCTTGGGCTATACTGGTTTCAGATTTGCGACCATCGATCAACATATCTTTCAGTGAATAATTGCTTTCTTTCAACGCTTTCTTACGCAGTCTTGAAGATGTCCCATTGCACACAATTTGCATTTTTATCTCAAATTCAACATCAGTGAACTCACAATGCTTTGCTAATCTTCTCAAGCGTGTGTGAAATTCATCTATTGTTTCATTATCTTGTTGCGCTGCTTGTCTAAACATATATGTTCGGTAAATACGACTTTTCTCCGGTTCGAAATATGCAGTGAGGGCGTTGACAGCTGCTTCGTAATCTTTCTCGTCTCCTGTGTCTGGCAGTATTTTAAATATTTCGTGAACTTCAGGCCCAGCTTGGTACAGCAGAAGTGCTCTTTGACGTGCAGTATCCTTCACATTCGTAGCGACTAAATATGTTTTAAAACGTTGAATCCATTGTGTCCATCGAGCGCTTGTATTCGTTGGATCAGCCTTCGGTTCGAACAAAGGCATTGGCTGTAAGCCATTCATTGTAAAAAAATTTTGTCCTCGTCGCCAATGTAATAATTAAACACACTCTGATTTCATATTTTATACTTTATATTTTAAACTACAAAACGTCCCCCAAACTTTAACACGCTCCTTTCCTCGTATATCTCTCGTCCCCATGCTCCCGCCTAATAACGTCAATCATTACAATATCTATAAACACATTACAGATAACGTTGGCAAGGACTACATTGAGTTTGATTTTGATAATCTGTAGAAATCTTTTCTATACTTTTTCAAAAAGAAAATATTATTCATTATATAATTATAACAAGCAGACTACCTTAGCTGAGCATATGGAATGGTGAACAATTGTAAATCAAAAAAGAATGTCAAATTTTGTTTATGCCGATATTTTATGTTCACCTTACCTGTACAGTTGTAATTACCATTGCCCTTATAGCCCATGTTACAAGTACAATTATATGAACCATCAGTATTAGTACAATTTGCATTTACACCACAAGGATTTGTTTGACATTCATTGATATCTAGAAATATATTACATATAACGTTGGCAAGGATTAAATTGAGTTTGATTTTGATAATCTGTACAAATCTTCTCTATACTTTTCCCAAAACAAAAGTATTAAATAACTCTTAACAAGCTGAATATAATTACAAATGAAAAAGAATCTAAAATCCTCTTTCCATTTTCAACTTAGGCATGCTGGAAGGAAAAGACTAACTCAAGGGTATATAAAGCAACTATACTAGAGCAAACAAGCAAATTAGCTAGAGTAATCGTGTGAGCTAGGTAGCTGACGAGGAAGCAGCGGATAAATAGCACCTTTCGGAGAGATCGAAAGCCGGAAGAAAATCAATTTTGACAATGCACATAACAAATACTTTTGAATATGCCGATATTCTATTTTACGTTACCTGTACAGTTATCCATTGCCTTCATAGCCCATGTGACAAGTACAATTGTAAGAACCATCGATATTGGTACAATTTGCATTTACATCACAAGGATTTGTTTGACATGCATTGATTTCTAGAAATATATTATAGATGACGTTTGAAAGATTACATTGAGTCTTATTTAAAAAAAAATATATTATTCATTATATAATTATTAACAACCAGACTTAGCTTAGTATATGGCATGGTGAGCAATTGTAAATCAAAAAAGAATGTAAATTTTGTTTATGCCGATATTCTATGTTCACTTTACCTGTACAGTTGTTACCATTGCCCTCATAGCCCATGTTACATGTACAATTATATGAACCATCAGTGTTGGTGCAATTTGCATTTATATCACAAGGATTTGTTTGACATTCATTTATATCTAGAAACATATTACAGATGACGTTGGCAAGGACTACATTGAGTTTGATTTTGATAATCTGTAGAAATCTTTTCTATACTTTTTTAAAAAGAAAATATTATTCATTATATAATTATAACAAGCAGACTACCTTAGCTGAGCATATGGAATGGTGAACATTTGTAAATCAAAAAAGAATGTCAAATTTTGTTTTTGCCGATATTCTACGTTCACCTTACCTGTACAGTTGTAATTACCATTGCCCTCATAGCCCATGTTACAAGTACATTATATGAACCATCAGTATTAGTACAATTTGCATTTACACCACAAGGATTTGTTTGACATTCATTGATATCTGGAAACATATTACAGATAACGTTGGCAAGGATTAAATTGAGTTTGATTTTGATAATCTGTACAAATCTTCTCTATACTTTTCCCCAAAACAAAAGTATTAAATAACTCTTAACATGCTGAGTATAATTACAAATGAAAAGAATCTAAAATCCTTTTCCATTTTAAACTTAGGCATGCTGGAAGGAAAAGACTAACTCAAGGGTATATAAAGCAACTATACTAGAGCAACAAGCAAATTAGCTAGAGTAATCGTGTGAGCTAGGTAGCTGACGAGGAAGCAGCGGATAAATAGCACCTTTCTAAGAGATCGAAGCCGGAAGAAATCAATTTTGACAATGCACATAACAATACTTTTGAATATGCCGATATTCTATTTTTACGTTACCTGTACAGTTATAACCATTGCCTTCATAGCCCATGTGACAAGTACAATTGTACGAACCATCGATATTGGTACAATTTGCATTTACATCACAAGGATTTGTTTGACATGCATTGATTTCTAGAAATATATTATAGATGACGTTTGAAAGATTACATTGAGTTTTATTTTTGAAAAAAAAATATTATTCATTATATATTATTAACAACCAGACTTAGCTTAGTATATGGCATGGTGAGCAATTGTAAATCAAAAAAGAATGTAAATTTTGTTTATGCCGTATTCTATGTTCACTTTACCTGTACAGTTGTTACCATTGCCCTCATAGCCCATGTTACATGTACAATTATATGAACCATCAGTGTTGGTGCAATTTGCATTTACATCACAAGGATTTGTTTGACATTCATTTATATCTAGAAACATATTACAGATGACGTTGGCAAGGACTACATTGAGTTTGATTTTGATAATCTGTAGAAATCTTTTCTATACTTTTTTAAAAAGAAAAATTATTCATTATATAATTATAACAAGCAGACTAGCTTAGCTGAGCATATGGAATGGTGAACATTTGTAAATCAAAAAAGAATGTCAAATTTTGTTTTTGCCGATATTCTACGTTCACCTTACCTGTACAGTTGTAATTACCATTGCCCTCATAGCCCATGTTACAAGTACAATTATATGAACCATCAGTATTAGTACAATTTGCATTTACACCACAAGGATTTGTTTGACATTCATTGATATCTGGAACATATTACAGATAACGTTGGCAAGGATTAAATTGAGTTTGATTTTGATAATCTGTACAAATCTTCTCTATACTTTTCCCCAAAACAAAAGTATTAAATAACTCTTAACATGCTGAGTATAATTACAAATGAAAAAGAATCTAAAATCCTCTTTCCATTTTCAACTTAGGCATGCTGCAAGGAAAAGACTAACTCAAGGGTATATAAAGCAACTATACTAGAGCAAACAAGCAAATTAGCTAGACTAATCGTGTGAGCTAGGTAGCTGACGAGGAAGCAGCAGATAATAGCATCTTTCGGAGGATCGAAAGCCGGAAGAAAATCAATTTTGACAATGCACATAACAAATACTTTTGAATATGCCGATATTCTATTTTACGTTACCTGTACAGTTATAACCATTGCCTTCATAGCCCATGTGACAAGTACAATTGTATGAACCATCGATATTGGTACATTTGCATTTACATCACAAGGATTTGTTTGACATGCATTGATTTCTAGAAATATTTAGATGACGTTTGAAAGATTACATTGAGTTTTTTTAAAAAAAAAATATTATTCATTATATAATTATTAACAACCAGACTTAGCTTAGTATATGGCATGGTGAGCAATTGTAAATCAAAAAAGAATGTAAAATTTTGTTTATGCCGATATTCTATGTTCACTTTACCTGTACAGTTGTTACCATTGCCCTCATAGCCCATGTTACATGTACAATTATATGAACCATCAGTGTTGGTGCAATTTGCATTTACATCACAAGGATTTGTTTGACATTCATTTATATCTAGAAACATATTACAGATGACGTTGGCAAGGACTACATTGAGTTTGATTTTGATAATCTGTAGAAATCTTTTCTATACTTTTTAAAAAGAAAATATTCATTATATAATTATAACAAGCAGACTAGCTTAGCTGAGCATATGGAATGGTGAACATTTGTAAATCAAAAAGAATGTCAAATTTTGTTTTTGCCGATATTCTACGTTCACCTTACCTGTACAGTTGTAATTACCATTGCCCTCATAGCCCATGTTACAAGTACAATTATATGAACCATCAGTATTAGTACAATTTGCATTTACACCACAAGGATTGTTTGACATTCATTGATATCTGGAACATATTACAGATAACATTGGCAAGGATTAAATTGAGTTTGATTTTGATAATCTGTACAAATCTTCTCTATACTTTTCCCCAAAACAAAGTATTAAATAACTCTTAACATGCTGAGTATAATTACAAATGAAAAGAATCTAAAATCCCTTTCCATTTTCAACTTAGGCATGCTGGAAGGAAAAGACTAACTCAAGGGTATATAAAGCAACTATACTAGAGCAAACAAGCAAATTAGCTAGACTAATCGTGTGAGCTAGGTAGCTGACGAGGAAGCAGCGGTTAAATAGCACCTTTCGGAGAGATCGAAAGCCGGAAGAAAATCAATTTTGACAATGCACATAACAAATACTTTTGAATATGCCGATATTCTATTTTTACGTTACCTGTACAGTTATAACCATTGCCTTCATAGCCCATGTGACAAGTACAATTGTATGAACCATCGATATTGGTACAATTTGCATTTACATCACAAGGATTTGTTTGACATGCATTGATTTCTAGAAATATATTATAGATGACGTTTGAAAGATTACATTGAGTTTTATTTAAAAAAAAAATATTATTCATTATATAATTATTAACAACCAGACTTAGCTTAGTATATGGCATGGTGAGCAATTGTAAATCAAAAAAGAATGTGAAATTTTGTTTATGCCGATATTCTATGTTCACTTTACCGGTACAGTTGTTACCATTGCCCTCATAGCCCATGTTACAAGTACAATTATATGAACCATCAGTGTTGGTGCAATTTGCATTTACATCACAAGGATTTGTTTCACATTCATTTATATCTAGAAACATATTACAGATAACGTTGGCAAGGATTAAATTGAGTTTGATTTTGATAATCTGTAAAAATCTTTTCTATACTTTTCCCCAAAACAAAAGTATTAAATAACTCTTAACATGCTGAGTATAATTACAAATGAAAAAGAATCTAAAATCCTCTTTCCATTTTCAACTTAGGCATGCTGGATGGAAAAGACTAACTCAAGGGTATATAAAGCAACTATACTAGAGCAAACAAGCAAATTAGCTAGAGTAATCGTGTGAGCTAGGTAGCTGACGAGGA